TTCCTTCCTTCCTTCCTTCCTTCCTTCCTTCCTTCCTTCCTTCCTTCTGTCCCTCCAGCCCTTCCTCTCTCCCTATCTACCTATAAACACATACAGGCATGCAGTAATACTTTTCTTTTTTTTAACTCTTGTAGTATTTAGTGAACCATACACGTTGTGGGCATTCAATAAACACTTGCAGGTGGGTCATCTATTCTATAAAACCAAAAAGTTAAAATGGTTTTGAGAAAAAGAATTTTTTTAACAGTACCTGGTTGGATTATCTCTTGGCCAATTGGCTGTTTCACACCTCCATCACAATCTGAGAATGAGACACAATGAAGCAACAAGGTGATTAGGAAAACAACTATTTTTCTTTTTCTCCATTAAATTGTGGGGAAATAGAGATGGGCAGAGGTCATAGATATACAATGTAAAAATTGCCATGCCTGCAAATTCACTTCAAAGCTCTCCCCTAAGGAAAGATCATTTCTGGTAGTACAAGAAAGCTGTAGGTGGGCACAAGAGAAGCTAGGCTCAGATAATTCCAAGCAAAGCAACCCATAATGGGTATGTGGAGACAACCAGAACAATAGTGTACATTCTGACATGTGTGGGCAAATTATGTGAAGCTGAAGTAGAGTCAGCTGTTGAGTATTGGGGGAATATTTTGTTAATTAAATGCTTCCCCTATGGTATAGAACATCTTTAAAAGAAAAGAGGGAACTCAAACTTTACCTGTTTGGCCTGGAGCGCCTGGGGAGCCTGGAGGGCCTGGGAAGCCAGGACTTCCACTTAATCCAGGGTCACCGGGGAAACCTCGTTCACCTTTAGGGCCTGGTAGACCTAGGCCCGGAGGACCAATTTCTCCTGCAATGCCCTTTAAACCAGATATTCCTGGGAAACCTGGCTCTCCTGGAAGGCCTTTGATGCCATCACCCTGTGTGAAATCAAATTTCCCTTTTAAAAAATGTGTATGTCTATAACATCAAAGATACTCTTCCCTGATGTCTCTATTACCTTTGTTTCCAATCTAATTATCTCTTGGTAGTTTTTCAACATGCTTATTAAACTATGGGCTCAGTCACAGAAATAGTGCTCTTCTACTCTCTATTTCTGCGACCTTGGACAAGTCATTAATGTCTCTGAGCCTTGGTTTTATCATATATAAAATGAGACAGTGTAGGAAATCATTCATAAGCTCCCTTCTAACTCTATGGCTCTATGAATAGTGTACTGGGAGACCTATTTATATGTATTTCCCTCCCTCCTTTCATTCATTCCTCCTTCCTCCCTCCTTCCTTCTTTTCTTCCTTCCTTCCTTCTTTCCCTCTCCCTCTCCCTACAAACATACACAGGTAAACACTAAGATACTTTTTTTTGGTACTATGATTCCATGTATATATAGGGAGTTTCAACTGAAAAAATTCCCTCTAACAAAGCATATGCTCTGAGACTTGTAGTCTCAGAGAATTGCCTGGAACACTGAGAAATTAAGTGACTTCCTGGGTCAGACAACCCAAATGTTTCAGAGGTGGTATCCAGATCATCTCAACTCCTAGGCTGGCCCTCTATGAACACCAGCATTTCATACCCTGGATCTACAGACCTCTGTGGCTAGATTTCATAAGGTTTGTTAATTAGATGGGGGGAAATTACTTTTATTTCAACATAACTGGTTTCTTTAACAATCCTATGTGTTTTATTTTATGCATTTAAAAGCATTTTTTTAAGAAGGGGTCTATGACACAAAAAAGGTTCTTAACCTCTGTACTATACCATGCTGCTTCTTACATATTATGTATTTATATATTATGAATACATATTATGAAAAGTCTTGGTCATCTAGAAAAGAGGTGTCAAACTCACAGTGAGTTGTAGCTCTAAAATGTAATTAGAAGATGTTTATCAAAATAAATAAAAATACAATACAACATAGATAATGTTAATTTGTCTTTCCTAAGTCAATATGCTAGATGCATATTGGGCATAGAAACAGTGAAGTGGATAGAGTATTGGGCCTGGAGTCAGGAAGACTCATGTGGCCTCAGACATTTACTAGCTGTGTGACCCTGGGCAAGTAACTTAACACTTTGCCTCAGTTTCTTCAAGTATAAAAATGAGCTGGAGAAGGAAATGGCAAACCACTCTAGTATATTTGCCAAGAAAACCCCAAAAGGGGTCACAAAAATGACTAAAAAACAACTAAACAAAAGTCAACATACAGGCAGCAGGGATACCTTTCTATTTGAATTTGACCCAAAAGAACTAGAACTTAATCTTATTTTGTGTTTCCTTTAATGGCCATGGATGTAGGAACCAGGTGGTTTCAGATTACTACTAGAAAATAAGCTCTTTGAGGTTGAGGAGAGTCAAATCCCATGGTCAAATACCATTTTGTGCAAAGCATTTTGCTAGGTACTATGAAAGAAAGTTTAGATAAAGTCCAATTCCTGTCCTTAAGGAATTTACATTCTACTAATCAACTGAAACTACTCCCTGTTATTAAAGAGAATGCAGGACAAAGTTTTAGATGGACAGGAATAAGCAAATATTCTTATTAAAAGCATTGTTGTTGTTGTATGGTTCATTTTCAAAGGTCAGAAGGGACAAGTGGACTACCTGCCCTCATGTTGTACATGTGTAAATATACATGCTTATTGATATCTACTTGCATGTCACATTAATAGTGCATCTGCTTAAAAGTGAGAGAAGATAAATGTATTCAAGGAAAGAAAAGATTCATGGAATTATTTGGTAATGAAGTGTTCTTTTAGTGAAAAAAAGTTATTAGATATGTAATCTGGGCCCAAGAAGAAAACTGAAGAGGCAAATGGAGGTATAGAACTTTGGAATTTCTTAACGAATCAGAGAAAAATGACAATTGGGGAACTCAGAAAAGTAGAGTCTTGGCAGGAGTTAAATGATCAGATCCAAAAGCTTGACCACCAAGTGATGAATTTTAGGAATCACAGACTTATTAATGTCATATAGAATGTAAGCTTCTTGAGGTGGGTTCTGTTTTTGCCTTTCTTTGTAATTCCTGTGCTTTTCACAGCACATGGCACATTGTAAGCACTTAAGTAATCTTTCATTCATTCATGAAGATCACCTAATGGTTGCAATCTTCTCTGACAGAAGAAATACATATATTGATGAAATAATGGATCCTTGAAGAATTAAAAATGAAATTGAGGTAATAACACTATCTTACCTACCTCAACAGGGTTGTTATGAGAATCAAATGAGACAATAAATATAAAGTGTTTAGTAAGCAGTAAAACACTCGATAAATGTCAATTATTCTAAATGAATGTCATAATGAATTTGAAAATGCTTTGAAAAATATAAAGCACCATATAAAATATGGCATTATGTAATGGAAGATTGTATTTCTTGAGGAGGACTCATTGTTTGCTGCCAATAAATGTATGTGTCAATAGGGAAGTAGCCATACTGTCTTACTTGATGATTACATACAATGAGGCTCCTCTTGTCTTTGTGTTTTTGCATTGGCTGTCCTACATTCTTACAGTACTCCTCACCTCCATTGGTTGGAACCTGTGGTTTTCTTCACAGCTCAGATCAAATGGCACTTGGACTTGAAGCCTTTCCTGATCTTCCCAGTTGCTAGTACCTTCATTCCCCAAAATACCTTGTATTAATTTTGTATATAATCTCTTTTGTTGTTCTTGTTGCACATGTTGAATGCTGTCTCTCCTCATTAGAATGTAAGCTCCTTGAGGGCAGGAACTGTTTCCCTTTTGTTTTTGTATCCCCAGTACTTAGCACAGTGCCTGGAACATAGTAAGTGCTTAGCAAATGCTTGTTGATTGATATAGCCTCTTGCTCTAATATCAAGAAGCAAGAGAAAGAGATGGTCATGGCTAGGAAGAGAAGACAGTGTTTTCAGTAAAGGTGGTGATATAATTGTACTGGTTCATTGATTTAAAAAAAAAACTCTTTTTGAAACCACCATGAAGAAGGAAATGACAAGATTTATCAGTAATCTAGCATCTACTGAAGAGACTAGGAAAATCCTAGCATTGTGGACTTACAAAAGTATTGGTTTTAATTATCAAAGTTAAAGCATGCATCTTTTCTTTCTGTTAACAACTGGTAAACCACAGATGTACAAAATGACATTATCAGTCATCATCATTAGCAAGTTTTACTTAACTGTTGTAGGGAAATTTACTATGTGGCTGGGCTTTGTTTGAGCATTTCTTGGGTAAATTGTCTGTTCTGTCAAAACAAGATGTATCCATAAAAAAACTCCACATATAAATAATAGTGTTTAAAAAGGAATCAACAAGGGAAGGGAAGGGAAGGGTGCTTTGTGCAATGTTAAGTATAAATTTTGGCAAACCACTTCAGTATCTTTGCCAAGAAAACCCCAAAAAGGGTCACCAAGAAGCAGACATGATGAAAAAATGACTGAAAAACAACAATAAAAGTATGTTTATAATTTCAATATGCATTTATTAAGTCCCTGCTAAGTTTTAGGGATACAAAGATAAAATTAAAAAAAATTCCTGCCTTTGAGGAATATACATTTTAGTGGGCAGGGGACAACATTTAAAAAGGATACCCAAAAGTTAGGATTTGAATACGGAGGGAATGCTAACGACTAGGGGATCAGGAAAGGCTTCTCATAGGAGGTAGTACTTTGAATTGAGACTTGATGAAAGCGAAGGATTCTATAAGATGGAGGTAAGGAAATGTATTCCAGGCACAAAAGCCTGTGCAAAATTGTGGTGGAATACATGACTGGGAATCATGAAAGGTAGTAATGTTAAATACAGGTGAAAAATAGGCTGTTGAATGGTTGTGAAGGCTTTAGATGCCAAGCTCAGGGGCAATAGGGAGCCTCTAAGGGTTGTGAAGTTGTGAAGAAACTTATGATCATGAACCACAGATAAGAAGAGGATGAAGCTTGAGATGCCCAAGTTGGAGCAAAGGGCTTCATAATGAGGACTGAGGAACAGCTAAGGGAACAAGATCTGTGAAGGTGAAAGTGAAGGACCATGGAAAGATAAAATCACAAAATTCTAGGAAAGAGTGTCAGCTCAAGGGCAGGAGAAAAGTGATAAAAGATGAAGGGAAGTATAGTTTTTGAGAAAAAAAATGGTGACTGTCACTAGTGACTCAGGAAAATAGTCTTTTGCTTCCTATCCACAATTAGTTCTTGCTTTTTGTTTACAGCAAAAGAGAAGACGGAAACGTCATGATTTTTAATGAAAAAAAAAAACAACTTCAATACTCATTAAAAAAACCTCAAACACAAGAAATCTATCTCAGTCTAAGCAGTTTATGTACAAACAGAGGAACAGATGTCCTATTTTTTTAAAATATCCATTGACTTCTGAAAGTTTCTTTCTTTGTGTTCTAAGTCATTTGTTCTCTGATCATTAAACTAACCTGGATGTATCTTATGTTCAATAACTTTAGTGGTACCGCCTACATCATTTGCTCCTACTTACATACTTAAGAGACATGATTTATAAGAAATAAGAGGACTGAGTTAGAATACAGATGTCTCCAAGCCAGTTCAACAGCTTAGAAAAACCACACTTACAGGAAGACCTGGAAGGCCTGGAAAACCATCTAGCCCATCTTGCCCTGGAAAGCCATCTTCACCTTGCAAACCAGGTATGCCAGGATTGCCTTGATCACCTCTGCTACCTAGAAAGATTTTTTTTAAGAGCCATTTTCAGAATGAGCACACTAAAAGTATGTGATTTTTTAAAAAATGGCTTAGTCAACAATATACAAACCTTTTGTTGTAATTTCTCTAGAATCTCCTTTCTGTCCTTTAGGTCCAGGTAATCCAGGAATGCCAGGGTTGCCCTGTGGAAACAAAATTATTTTTATGGTTACACCCGGTAGACTAGAGGTTCAAACAAGCAAAAGCTCTAAGCACTAAGGGTAAATAAATATAATAAGAAGTAATGAAAATGGCTTAATTGCCAATTACTTTTGTAAAGTGAAGGCAGGACAGAACCTTAGCACTGTCCCCCCTCCCCCAAGGCAGACAACATTTTAGAGATGAACCTTATTATAAAACATTAGAGAATTCAAGCTTAAAGCTATAACATCTAAGTGAGACAATGACTAGAAATGAGGAGATTCATGATGTGTGATCATTCTCTCCTGGTGTTTGTTATATTACTTTGTGGCAAATTATGGCATTTCTTTTATGCAGATTTAGTGAGATATATTTGTTAAAAAGAGATTTCAATTTTTTTGATTGATGGACATAGTTCTTTGCAGACTGGGGAAGACATATCATAAACCCAAGAGAGTCCTGAATAATTGGCTGCAAAAAAAAAATTAGTTTTCTGGCAACTTTCAATTAAAAGAACTCCCTACCTTTGCTAGAATAATGTACAATTCCCAGCACCTAATGTCTTTGAATTCATCAGTCAATTTTACATACTTTGATAATCTGGATTTAGAGCAAAATTGCTTTTTACTGGAAAAAAAGCACAGCACTCAGTGTTTCCTACTTGATTGTCTTGTTTGTTTTCTTAGAAATTCAGGGGCACAGAGTCTATAAGGTGGGTGAGTTTAATTTTCTTTCAGAATACTCTTGTGCCACAAAGCAATTATGAGTATACAGTGACCTTGTACCCTAGGAGAATTCTATCTTTTGCTGAAGTTCTCTTATAACATGAAGTGAAGCCAATTGGTTCCTGACTCAGATACCCTTGGAATTTATTTTGATTTTTCAGAATATGTAAAACACTCACGATTTCATTTTGTAAGTCTTACCATTCTCTTTTAATTAGGGGGGAAAAAGGAGCAGTTCTAGTGCCTAACATTTGAAATGAACATTTGAGTTACTGGTCAATTAAAAACCTGCTGGTGCAGAAAGATGTATTTTAAATGCTCTTTTAAAATAGCTTGTAAAAAAGACTACCAAGCTGATAGGGAGAGCCAAAGAGAAGAAATTTCATACATTACTGGACATGAAAATTCTTTGGAAGTTTTGCATGTGTGACACATAAGGGTACTTTCTTTATACTCATGAATTTTAGCCAGATTCAAAGGTGAATATTATCTAAAGACTGTTCCTCACACTGGGCACAACAACAAAGGTGGTTCAGTCAATTAATATGTTCCTGACACTGTGTGAAACACTGGGTTACAAAGAAGCAAAGGATAATTCCTGCCCTCAAGGAACTTCCTTTTTAATGAGTATAGACAACACAAAAAAAGGAAGATGAGAAGGTGAGTAAAGAGGGAGAAGGGGTAAGGTACCCAGAGCAATAGCATGATGGAGGAGGTCAGGGGAGTACCAAAAAAAAACCAAACCAAAAAAAAAAAACCAAACCTTACCATCAATCAATGTCAACAGGAATCCTAGAGGACCTTCCATCTACTCTATATATTCTGCATGTACATAAAAAAAAAAAATTTTGTCTCCCCCATTACAATGTGAGCTTCTTGAGAAAAGGCATTATTTTTGCTTTTCTTTGTATCTCCAACACTTAGCATAGTACCTGGCATGAGGTAAGTACTTAATAAATGCTAGTTGACTGACTGAACATTTTAATATGTGAAGGAAAATTGAAAAAAAAAGAATTTTATGTGATGGAGTACTATTGTGCTATAAGAAATGACAAACAGGGTGGTTGCAGAAAAACTTGGGAAGACACATGTGAACTGATGCAAAATGACTTGAGCAGAACCAAGAGAACATTGTACACAGTAACAGCAATATTATAAGAATGATCAACTGTGAAAGATTTAGCTACTCTGATCAAGGCAATGATCTAAGACAATTCTAAAGGACCCACGATGAAAAACGTTATCTACCTCCAGAGAGGGAACTGATGAACTCTGAATGCAGATTGAAGCATTTAAAAAAAAAACACCAACTTTCTTTATTTTTATTGTTTATTTTGTGTTTTCTTTTGCATCATGGCTATGTCTTGCATGATTTCACATGTATAACTGATTTCAAATCAATTGCCTTCTCAAGGGGGGGGGGATGGGGCAGAAGGGAGGGAGAGAATTTAGAACTCAGAATTTAAAAAAATTTTAAAAGTTGTTAAAATGTTTTTACATAGAATTGGAATACCTTTAACAAAATAAATAAAAATAATTTTTTTAAAAAGAGGATTTTATATGAGACTAAGAGCTGCAATATACAGTTCAATTTTCCACATTGTAATGGATTTTTTTTTGTTTGTTTAGTTCACATTTAACATGACATTTCTAACACTATTTGCCCTTTCTGCTCTCTTTAATCACAAAGGTTTTTTAAAGGTCCTCTGGAAGTACGTTTTACTGTCCACAGCGGCACATGGGTGTTACTGGCATAAAATTGCATTAATTTAATCATTTGAAAGGCCATGGTACAATAAAGATATAATAAACATTTAACATTTGGAAGAGAAGCTGAAGTATGTGAGTATCTGATTTCATACCTGATGGTTATCTTACCAGCTTGGGTAAAAAACAGATCCACCCCCTTACCTTGAAGCCCGAGAAACCAGGAATACCATGTGGGCCTGGGTCACCAATTTCCCCTTTCCTCCCAGGCTCTCCATTTACACCAGGACGACCAATGGGTCCTGGTGGACCAGGAAGGCCACTGGGAAGATCACATTTACAGTCTCCAGGGTCACCTATAATGTCAAGGAGCAGGAGAGAAAAGATAAACTTTTTTTTTCTAGGAAAAAAGACAATTTGACCCCAAAATTATTTATTAAATTTTGTGCTCAGTGTTACAAGGGATAAAAAGAAAGCAGTAGAGCATGCTTCACACTAAGTTTCAGCCCTCAAAGAGTTTATAATTTCACTAGGGAGAGAACCAATTAGCATTTATTAAGCACCTACTCTCCGCCAGGCACTAAGCCAAGTACTGAAGATTCAAGTTCAAAGAAAGAAACGATCAGGGTACACATATGTTAAGTAATTTAAAAAATTCAATTGTATTTTATTTTCAGACAAATCCACATTCTTTCCCTCCCTTAAGGTGAAAGAACCCCACCAAAACAATAAAAACAAACAAAAACTCTTACAAACACATACGGTCCTTGAAAACTAGTTCTCACGTATGTTAACTAGTGTAATCAGCTGTGGTGTAGGCCAACCAAAAGTGCTATAAGATTTCCAAGGAAAGAGAGTTCAATATTGGCTGAAATTGAACAGGTAGAATTCATGGAGATAAAATGACTTGATCTGAGCATAAATGGGCAGCCAAAAACAGGGGTGAGTTGGGGCAGGGGCAGGGAATGATGTCGTGAAAAAAACACTATATTTAATATCAGAAGGCCTGGGTTCTAGTCTTATCTCTATCATACAATAGCTGTGTAACATTGGGTTACTTGCAAATTCTCTGAGCCTCAGTTTCTTCATCTACAAAAGTAGCAAAAACTCCCTGTCATACCTTCTTTATGTGGGCCTGGTGAGAATCCAGTGACATAATGGAAATGAAAATAGTTCTCACAGGATAGCCTCTAAGGTAATAATCTCTCTCTCTCTCCGTATGTATATGTATGTGTAATATATATAAAACACATACATATATACATATACAATATATGTATATTTAATATGTATATGTAATATATAATACACAATATATAACAATAAATAACATACAATATAATAATAGTCATAAGATACTTGCTTTCCAAAGTGCTAAGCTCATAATAATCCTGGATGGCAGGTATTAATTCTCTTCATAAACACATGAAAAATATATATTGGGGGTAGCAACTTCCCCAAAGTCAGAGTCCAGATTCGGTTCTAAATCTAAGTGATTTTTGCCACAGCACCATGTTTCAACCCTGTACCAATGTAAGGTTATTTTTACAAGGGTGATAACCTATTCAATAAATAGATCAGTATTATGACACCCACTAAGGGTTTTTAATGAAAAATAACTTTTGACTGATTTGGTCAAGCAAACTTATGCTGAGAATGTAGAAATGAAGGCTGACTCCTCTTTTGTATTATCAGTATAATTTCTATGGGAGAGAATGGTATAGTTTTTAAAAAAGACATTTAGGCTAAAGTGCTTTTTGTTTCTTTTCGACTGTATTTATTGGTCTGGATCTGTGATTGCATTGAAGGTAGGAAATTCCTAATATGGAAATTCCTTCCATCAATGCAGATTGGTAACTGTCTTAACTTATAGTTGAGAGAGTTGTTTGAGGTATTGAGAGGTTGAGTGACTTGTGCAGTCACACAGCCAGTACATTACAGACACAGGACTGGAAGCTGGGTTTTCCTAACTCCAAGGACAGCCTCTTGTCCAATATGATATGCTACTTTTATGTTTACAGGGTTGCTTTAATGCCAATGGGCCAGGATAGTTTTTATACCTATTATTAGAATCCAGACCTATCATTTCACCAGTATAGAAAATTCTCCAACGAGGAAATCCCTTTACCAATATAGACCTGTACCTGTTCGGCAATTTGTAGTTTCTTCAAATTACCTGGGGACACTGAGAGCATAAATGATTTATGTATTGTATATCCAGTTATGTCAGAGGCAAAACATGAACTCAGCTTGTTATGCCTACAAGGCTGACGCTTCAGGGACACTACCTCTTTGTGACTATACCACTATTACATATCAGAGAGAGCTTACCTTTCCATCCTTTTTGTCCTCGTGCTCCTGGGAATCCTGAAGGGCCTGGGTAACCCACACTTCCCTCAGTTCCCTTAAGCCCAAAAAGAAATCCTATTAAAAAACACACAAAAGAACAATAATGTTAATACGCTGAATAATGACATAATAATGCTAGGCTATTGCAATAGCCACTGGTTGGTCTCTCTGCCATAAGTCTCTCCCCACTCTATTCCATCTTCCATTCAGTTGTCAAAAGTGATCTTCCTAAAGTTCAGGACCAATCAAGTCATCCCCCATACTCAAGATAGTCCAGTGGCTTCCTATCACTTCCAGAATCAAATATAAAATCTTCTTTGGCATTCAAAGCCCTTTATAACCTGTCCCACCACCCAACTTTCTAGTTTTCTTAACACCTAACACCCCACCATGAACTCTGCAATCTAAAAACCCCAGCCTCCTTGCTGTTCCTTAAACAAGATACTCAATCTCCTGACTTGAGGCATTTTTACTTCATGCCTGGAATGTTCTCCCACCTGATCTCTGCCTCTTGGCTTTCCTGGCTTCTTTCAATTCTCAGTTAAAATCCTACCTTCTACAGGAAGTCTTTTCTGATCCCCCTTAATTCTAATGTCTTTTCTTTGTTGATTATTTCCAATTTATCCTGCACATAGGATTGTACATAGTTGTTTGCATGTTGTCACTCCCATTAAATTGTGACCTTCTTGAGAACAAGGGTTGTCTTGCTTTTCTTTGTATTCTCAGTACTTAGCACAGTGCATGGAACACAGAAGGTGCTTAATAAATGTTTGAATGAATGAATGATGTCCCAATGTAATCACACTTCTAATGGTTTTCCATTGAGTAGCACAGATTATAATAAAAGAGGTGAGTAACACATGCCCTCTATTGGGAACCCATATGGGATTGAGATTCCCACAGTTTAAGAAGTGCTGAAGGGGTCACAAGTGGAAATTTAAGAAGCCCTGCTCTAGACCACCTTTTACAGAGAAACATAGATGGTTTCTGGCCCATATAGCTTGCAGGGCTAGAACTAAAGTTATGTGACTATGAACTATGAATCTCATTGTTTTTGAGAATCCTCGTGACTAAATTCTTCTTGAAAAAGATACCAAAAAAAAAAGTTTTTGTTGTAACCCTGCTGCCATCTACCTGTCCAAATGAGTACTACTTTAAAAGAAAAAAAAAGGTATGTACTTTTATATACAAAAGCACACTACTAAGTTCCCTTATAATAGAACAGAAATAAAGATACATACTCCCCCAATTCTCAACAAAGCAGCAGAAACAGCAACAAACAAGAGAAAGAAGGCGTATTTCTTGATATGGATCTGAATCTAGTTTTAGGCTACCTCTGTACATTAGACTGGAGAAGCTCCTTTGATTTTAAGCACCCAGACTTTTCACATGATGGCAAGTAGCTGCTACTTTTCTCCATCCCCTCTAGGAAAGATTAGGTTATTTATTCCCAATGCCTGATGTTACTCTAACGGTCCCATACAGGAAAATCTAGAAGAAGGCAGTAGAACTAGCACATGGATTTTAAAATATCACTAAACTGTTGGTTTCATTTTCTAGTAAACTGCCACCTCCTGTTAGAAACAGTACTGCTGATCACATAGAAGTTCTGAAAAATACTGAACAGTTAATCCTTCCACATAATGACTTTCCCCATAGCAGTTTTGCTATATCATGGGTCAGCATAAAAAATTAAATGGGAATTTTGGGGAGAGTTTTGCAGATGACACACAAAGGCCAGCAAATGACACAGAAAAAGTTTAGAAACTCAGAAACGCAGGATTGTTACAAAAAAGCATTCTGGTTGACTCTGGCATCATATGAGAAAAAGCTAAGTCCTTAAATGATTTCCTAAAGGAAAATGAAGGTGAAGGGTCTACCCCTATGGATTTTACATGGATTTTCCAGATTGCTGAGGTGCTATGCCCCTAGCCCCTGTGAAGTGGAAGGGATAACTGTATTAACTCATTCATTTTTCTTCATGTTTACATTTTCAATTCTTTTCTCAAACTCATTGTTACATACACGGCATTATAGAATCTCAGCATTGGAAGTCATCTAGTCCAACTTTCACTGAATAGGAACATCTGCTACCCTTCTGAGAAGGGGGTCACCCAGCCTCTGTGTGAAGACATAAAGTGATGGAGAGCTCCCCAAAAAGAGGACATTTTTCACATTTCTCAGTTCTGGTTGTTAGAGAAGGCTTTCCCTTAAATTGAGCCCAAATCACCCCAACATTTGTTGCACCAAGTTTTTCCCTTGGGCCAGAGATCAAACACTAGAAAAGTTATAATGTACTTCCTAAGATGTTCTTTTAAAAGCTTAAATTTCCCCTTCCCTTCACCTCATGCTCCCATGGCATAAACTTGAGTTTCTCCATCATAATAGTTCCCCTAATTTGGCATGCTCTGACAATGTCCTTCCAGAAATGAAGTATCCAGAGCTGAACACAATATTTCACATGTGGTCTGACCAGGGTTGAATACAGCAACAATATATCTTCCATCATTTTGTTTTTAATTATGTGATCTAAGATTGTATTAGCTTTTTCAGCTTTCATGTCATACTGTTGACTTGCACTCCAATAAGACACCTGGGTCTTTTAATACAAATTGCTGTCTAGCCATGCCTCTACTGTTTTATAACTGTGAGGTTGATTATTTGAATCTAATAATAGTCCTCTATATTTCAACTAACCATGGTAGCCTGTTGTGATAGTACAAGCATGTTCTGTCCCAACCTCCCCAAAGAGATTAGTCTTCCCTAACAAGCAACAAAGCTATTCTACCTCCTGACTGGCTCATGACTCCCTTGATACACCTCACCTAAGAGCATAAAAAAACCTACCCAAATGGAGTGGGGATCCTCCAACTTGGTGTATATTTGAAGACCATGGGAGTTATCACATCCTGCCCTGCAAGCCTGATGAGTTTCCATATGGAAGGAACAGGGGAGGCTAGAACACATCTACAGAAGCTAAGCACCATTATATCCTCGCTTGCATATTCTTGCCATATTACTGTTGTTGTTTAGTTGTGTCCGATGCTGTGTGACCCCATGGACATAGCATGCCAGGCCCTTCTATCCTCTACTTTCTTTCAATGTCTGTCTAAGTTCATGTTTGTTGTTAGGTTAGGGCTAAGCAAAATCTCCTCTAATTAATTTTCTGATGACTTAACGAGTGCCTCATTTTGTTCTGAAATCAAACTTAAATTAACTGGGTAGAGGTGTCAGGGCCTGCCCCTAACACCTGTCATAATCTTTTGGGGATGCTTAATCCGGCAGTTAGGTGGCGCAGTGGATAGAGTGCCATGCCTGAAGTTAGGGAGATTCATTTTCATGAGGTCGAATGCAGACTCAGACATTTACTAGCTGTGTGACCCTGGGCAAGTCACTTAACACTGTCTGCCTCAGTTCCTTGTCTGTGAAATGAGCTGGAGAAGGAAATGACAAACGATTTCAGTATATTTGCTAAGAAAACTCCAAATGGGGTCATAAAGAGTCAGACATGACTGAAATGACTGAACCATAATAAGATAAGGTTATCCAAAATGTTAGCTATTGATTCCAGTTTTGTGCTGCTTGCAAATTTGATACCTTTATGCAAGTCATTGATAGTAATTTGGTACAGCCTAGGGCCAAAAAAAAGAGTTCTTTTGACACTCCATAAGAGATTTTCATTTAGCTTAAGGTCCATCCTTTAATCATTGCTCCTCAGTCAGTCAAACAGTTCTGACAAAAAGTTTCAGACCAAGATAGCTTAACAGAAGGTAACAATACAGATCAGCTCCATACATGAATCAATACCCTAAGAAACAACTTATGACTTGAACAAACTAAATAAGATTCTGAATCTGCCTGACCATCCTACAGTCTAGACCACATTTCTCTCACAAAGACACAATATGACATTTTGTTAAATGTGTTGCTGAAATCAAAGTGTACCATATTGACTGTATTCTTCTGATCTACCAATCTAAGACCTATATCCAAAAAAGTAAAGGGGTTAGCTTAGCATAACTTATTTTTGATTATCTGATTAATACTGTATCTTAGTAAGCATTTCTTTTCCTAAGTGTTCATATACTATCCCTTTGGTAACACCTCCTAATATTTTGACAGGATTTGAAGTCAAACTACCTGGCCTCTGACGGAAGAGTTTGAATAAAAGATCTTTTTTTTTTTTTTCTAAAATAAGGAAATTTCCTCTTCTCTCGCACGACCCATTCTCAATGATTTTTCACATGTGCTACTGGCATCTCAGACCCAACATATCCACATTGGAACTTACCATTTCCTCACCTCACTCCTCCAAACTTCCCTTTTTCTGTTGTGAACACTAATTATCCTACTACTGACCTAGTTTCACAACATCAGAATCTCCACTGTTGCCTTTTCCCTCGTCTTCATACCTCATATTCAACTTGTTGGCAAGTCTTGTGGAAGCTGCCCCCATAATCTCTCTCCCATCTGTCCCCAGTCTTCCACTCACAAACCCTAATTTAAGAACATACGACTTTTCGTCTGGGCTATCGTAATAGGTTCTTAACTGGTCTCTTGCTTTCAATCTCTCTACTTACCAATCTACCCTTTAAACAGCAGCCAAAGTAATTTTCCTAAAGCATAGGTCAGACTGCATGATTGCTTTGCTCAAAAGCATTCAGTGGGTCCCTATTGCCTCGTCAGTCTGGCCTTTGAAGCCCTCTACCACCTAGCTCTGACCTACCTTTCCAGACTTATCTTACATTATTCTCTACCTCACACTCTATTTTCCAATCAAAGTAGACCACTAGCTATTCCTCTGACTCGACATTCCATCTCCCACGCGTTTGTAAAAAACTATCCTTGATGCAGACACGCAGTCAAACCACTTCATCACCCCATCAGTAACGCCATCTTCCTTCAGGATTCAGACAATAGTACGTCATTTTTGTGAAGGATTCTCTGACACGTCATCCCAACCTTCAGCTTGCCTAGTTGTAAATGCTCTCTCCCTCCTTAAATTATCTTGTATTTATTTATCTTTTTATATGTTGCACCCCACCAATAGAATGTAATCTCCTAGAAAATAGGGGATATTTCATTTTGGCCTTTGTATTCCCAGTGCAGTATCTTGAATATCACTCTGTGTCATCAGGACTTGATTCTCGAGAGTGTCTTATCCGTCTTGAGTTTACTATTGTAGAGTCCTTCCTATACTTTCTTTGTACCCTTTAAATATACTCTACCTAGGTTCAAAGTCTAGGGTAGGCATCAGTCAGTCAACAACCACCATTCCTCTTTAATGATTATGAACTCTAAGACAGCACATTCACTGTAGTTATTTCTACTTTGGCATCTGGTTTCTCCTCATTGGTCAGTTCAAATGTATTTCCTCTTGACACCTCCCCCCCCCCCCCCCCCCCCTCCTTTTTTAGAAAAAAGTTACAATTCTTGGCTGCTTTGCTTTTAGTGGACAGACAGAGAGAGTGAGCAATGTTGAACAGATGTCTAGATAGTTGGAGTTCTTTATCACTATTATATCTTGCTTCTGTACCAGCCTTGTGATTTGCTTCTGGAACTCACCCAATTCTTCTTTTTGGCTGGGTAGTTGGCAATATATTCCCACCACAGTATCTGAGTTTTTCTCTTCCTTGGTCCTCACCTAAATGCTTTGCATGACACTTCTCCATTCTGGTTCATGGATTTCTATACAGGCAACTTCTTGAGATATAGCGCTGCTCTACTGCCCCTTTTATCTAACCTTTTCCTTTTGAATAGGAAAATATATCCCATCAGGTATCACTTATATTGATGAGCTTGTACTAAAAAGTAAATATCACAATACGAAAATTGAAAATATTTAAATAGGTAAAAATGCTGTATATGTACCTTTCTGCCTGAATGATAATAGATGAGTAAGTATATTTAAGATTTGGGGAAACAAGGAGGAAAGGAAAAGCCAAAAACATTAAAGCTGATGTTTCTCCATGTAATTCAGTGATTCAGAGAGTTTTATCTTGGGGCCACAGTATGACATACAAGGCATTACCTCTTCAGATGTTTCTGAGCGAGTAACTATAAATTTGGCATTGTTACTATGTGCATCAATTTAAGTCAGGGGTTCTTAATCGGGGGCCCATCAAAGGGATCTTGTATAGATTTTAGCAAGGTTCATGAACTTGGATGGGAACAAAATGACATCTTTATTTTCACTAACCTTTGTTTTCCTTTGCAATCCCATACAGCTTATTTTATTCACTTCAAAACATTTTTCTGAGGAGTCCAGAAGCTTCACCAGACTTAGGACTTCTAACATAATACCAGACAAGAGGTCCTTGTTTTAAGTTGCATTACAAGTCTACTTAGTTATATACAGGTCATCTACAGTTTATTTCTTTCTCATCACCTGCATGTTCTAAGTCCGACGTTGCAAAATAATGTTGAATTTCTTGGAGTTTCTCAAACTTGTTCTTAAGAAGTGAACAAAGACAACAACAAACCAAGAACCATTTTAGCTTAATCAAAAGCAGAACGGAGTTGATCTGCTGTTTACTCCTTATCATTGGCTTAGAAAAAAAGTGACTCAGATTTGGAAGCAAGCAAAATTTTCTACACTGAAAGAAAACTGGTTTTCCTGGATATAACTGTGCTGGAGTTTCAAAATGGTGAAAACTAAGGCTTTATTCATCAAAACATGTAAAATTTATTGAAATCTTGTAATAAAATTAAGTTCAATAATTTTATTCCAGAAGATACTGGACTCTGAGAGAACTAAGTCAAACGACAGAATTATTCTATTTAAAGGGATATTTAAATTCCTGTAAGAGCCAGAAATGTTAAGGAGTCCATTAGGATTGACTGTTCTTTGTACAACATGATAGCTTAAAAATATTTTTGAGAAATAAATATGTCTCAGTGGGGGAAAAATGTCTATTGGGATGAAAACTTATGTTGAATGCTCTTTTTACTTTATTTGATGAAAGTCATCTGATAGCATTCCATCTGCTTTACAAATTCCCTCATCAGCATCCAATAGGGAACACAAGTAATTTAATTTCTGTTTGCAAACCAGTTATGTTAGCAAATCATAAACTAAGGCAAGATGGAATGCTTTATGCCCTTATCACGCTTGAACTGAGGTTCTGAAATACAGGCAAAGTTAACTTTCAATTATGAGCTTTTAAAAGACATAATTCTATGTTCCACCTTTTTTTTTCTTTTTTCAATTTACCATGCTCCAATGCCAACAAATAATGGACTAAACTGGCACCTTTTACTTAACAAACCTAGCTCTTACAGGAACCTAGATTTCCATGGCTAGAGACTTTAGAGTAAATATGGATGCTAGGATAGTTCTGAAACATCAAGGATATTTGCTGAAACCTTCAGCAAAGATATGAAATCAAAGAAATCTCAGTTTGTGTGGTAACCCTTGAGGTATATAGAATGATAAAGGATTTGGATGAAGGGGATATGGATAGAAAGAGGGAAAGAATGAATGTAAAAACACTTGCGAAGAGGCTTTTGTAACAGTTCAGGGGGTAGCAATAAGTATGTATTTTAAGATATCAAGTAGGGAAAAAAAAACATCTAGTAAAAATTAAGTTAACGAAATATTTTATTCTCAGGACAATATACTGGCTTTCCATTATTTCTCCACTTACCATCTGGTCCTGGTGGCCCAGCAGGTCCAGGTGGTCCTCGAAGTCCTGGTTTTCCATCTATACCTGGAGGTCCTGGGTATAGAGCTGAAAAACCTGGGTCACCTATAAAACCTTTGGCTCCCATTTCACCTGGAAGGCCTCTTCGTTCATCTGAATTCCATCAAACACAAACAGACAACATCAGGTCTTTAAAGCTACTTCTGAACATTAATATTTGTCTTTAGAATTATGCTCCTAGTGAGGCATGGTGGTACACACTGTAATCCTTTCTACTGGGGGAGACTGAAGTTAGTAGACTTGAGTTTGCAGCTAAAGTAGGACCAAAGCTGCATTAAGTCTGGCACTAATATGGTGAGTTCTTGGGAACAGAGGGCCACCGGGCTGCCTAGGGAGGGGCACACTGGTCCAGGTCAGAAAAGTGGAGTGGGTTAAAGCTTGGGATTGGGCCTGTGAGTGACTACTATACTTTCAGGCTGGATGAAACATAGACCTACTTTCAAAAGCAAATTCTGTTCCATAGAAGGCTATGAGTTACTAATTCAAAAGAAGGTCTAAATTCTACACCAGCAAGTTTTATTATTTATTCACTCATTAATTTATGGCATCAATATAGAGCCAGGATTCACACATAAGTTTTCTGTCTCCAAATCTGTTATTTTTTTCATTAGACCATACTATCACAATGGACTAGATGTAGTCTAAAAGTTTCTATGCCCTGAAATTCTATCAACAACTTTACCAAAAAATCCAAAACAATCAAAAGTAAAACAAGTATCCTGTGAATTCTTAGTTTTTATTTGAAAATGTATTGAAATAGCTATATACAATCCTTTGGAAGTAGATTTTTAGAATGCTAATGTTTTCATTAATATGAATGTCTGTTACCTCCATCTCCTTCTGTTGTTCCCTGGGGACCTGGCGGGCCAGGGTCTCCTTGTTGACCTGGACTTCCATCAGGGCCACGAGCCCCTGCATCTCCTGGGTCACCTCTTATTCCTAAAACATCCCATAGAACAAGAATAAGATTGCTCTTCTAGTTATTATGTACATGTCATAATGATACAAATCACATCATAGAAATCCTTCCAGTTTTTGCAAATTGTTGAGAAATAGACAACTGGAAATTGCAGGGGTCCCAATCAACTGGAGAATGGCTGAATAAGTTGTGGAATATGGTTGTGATAGAATACTATTGTGCTATGAGAACTGATGAGATCATTGATCTTAGAAAGGCATGAAAAGACTAGCAAGTGAAGAGCAAAGCCAGCAGAACCAAAAGAATACCGTATACAGTAACAGCAATATTGTTTTAAGAATGATTTTGAGCGACTAAGTCATTTTGACTATTATAAATACCCAAATTAAAAATAAAAGATGTATGAAGAAAGATGCTATCTACATCCAGAGAAAGAACTGATAAATGGAAGTATGCATAGAATAATTTTACATACACACATATTTACATATATATGTATATGTATGTGTGTGTACATATATATATATTTGTATCTAATAGTAACCATCTCTAGGGTGGGGGGAGGGTGCAGGGAGGGAAGGAAAAAAGGAAAAAAAGAAATTTACATGCCAACTGCTGCATATTTGGAGGGAATAGCAAGTTGTATGTGGTAGATTTGCAGTTTAATTGTGCAATTATCTTTTTCCTGTACTGTGTTATGGAAATGCTTGTTTTGTTCTGTGAATTGTTCATAAAATACATTTTAAAAAAATAATAAAAAAGAAAATATACTAAAGTGTTTTTAACTACTTAGTTTAAGTTGCCAGAACTATTTTAGTAGCAAGGAATGCTTTTGAATAACACAAATCCCAAATAGGGATAAAATTCTACATAGTTCACTCATATAAGGTACAATGGATTTTATATGAATGTTAATGTGCATATGTATGTATATTATATATGCACATTTCTATGAATGTGTGTGCATTTATTTATTTTTCCCCATATGAGTTTTGCCAGCAAATGATCAATTTTCTTTTTTTTTTTTCCAGTAACTTGTGAAACCATGTACTACGGCATTCTGGGAACACTTTTTGATATTTTAGTTCACCAATAGATTCATCCAATTGCCATGTGGAAGAGATTAAACTTGTTCTATGTGGCCATGGAAAGTAGATCTAGGAGCAATTGATAGAAGTCACAGGGAAGCCTATTTCAGCAAAACAAAACCTCTTCATAATTAGAGTTGCCTAAAAATAGAATGTTCAGTTTGATGGCTAGTGAGTTACCTCTCCCTGGAGGGGTTTTAAGCAATGGCAAAATGTCAAGGATGTTATAGTTATGAGTACCTGGTATGCGTAGGGTTGAAAAAGTTTAATTCTGAAGTCCCTTCCAATGTTCAAACTCTATGTTTATATGAATTCTGCCTAATAAAGACACATGTTTTGAGGCTACTGAGGCTCATTGTTCAATTTCTGTCAGGCCTCTAGAAAAACTAACCTAAAGTGATATTATGCCTATTGATGACATAAGACTACCATCTAGTGGTCAAAAGTAGAATCACAGGCTTCCTACCCTGAATGAATTTTTTTTTTTTTTTTTTTTAAAACAGCCCCATTGGAAGACCTGGAAGGGATTTTAGAAATCATCTGATTCAACTTTCCTTCTTTACAGGTGAAAAAACTGAGGTCCAGAGAATTTAAATGATATCCAAGGTCACAAGGTGGTAAATATCAGAGTCAGAATTAAAAGACCTGGATGCTGTTTTCATTATACAATCCTACCTTTCAGAACACTCTTCAACTTGATAAAGATTCAAGAAATGCGTTGTGGTAAAAAATGGGTATTGTTCACATTTTGTTCTTAAAGGATTAAGAGTAATGGAATTTTTTAGGAAAATATACAATAGGTCACTAATCAACATTAAAAAAAAATCCATTCCAAAAGCTGACAAGATAAATATGACAACTAAGATCTAAGAAACTTTTTTTCAAACCAAAAAAAGCAATGCTGAAATAATTTAATTTCTTTTTCATGATATAAACTTAGTAGATCAAGGGAATAAGGTATGCTTAGTATATTTTTATTTCCATAACACATTTGGTAATATCTTCCATGATAGCCTCTGGGAGAGGTGAAATACAAGTTGAATTATAGCCAAAGAGTACTGATTAATGAATGGTTTGGTGTCAGTTTCCTAATCTGTAAAATGAGACAGTTGGACCAGATTATCTCCAAGGTCCCATTGAGTTCTAAATCTATATCTTATTAACCAATTAATGCCAACGGTCCTATAGTGGAGTACTATAAGGTTCTGTTCGAAGTTTCATTATACATTTTCATTAAAGATTGGCTAAAATATAAAGAGTACTTATGAAATCTGCATAAAAGAAGGAAAGTTAATCTTATAGATTACATCATCCAGATTCAAAATTATTTTAGTGGGGCAGCTAGGTGGTGCAGTGGATAGAGCACTGGCCCTGGAGTCAGGAGGATCTGAGTTCAAATCTGACCTCAGACACTTGACACTAGCTGTGTGACCCTGGGCAAGTCACTTAACCCCATTGCTTAGCCAAAAAAAAAAAACATGATTTTAGTAGCAGAAATTCAGGGTTGAAACTAACAAGATGAAATTAAAAAAAAAGACGTAATCTATCTTTAGGTTCAAAAGACCAATTGTACAAGAACAAGATAGGGGAATCATTGAATCAAAGGATCATTGATTTAGAGCTTACAAGGGGGTTAAGAGATTTGTCCATAGTCACACAGATAACATTAAAGTGACTTGCCCAGAATCACATCATTAGTGTCACTCTATGCACCACCCAGCTGCCCAAATTTGAAATAGCTATGAGATATCTAATTCAAGATATCCCAAAGGCAGTTTGATGGTGTGGGACTATATTTCAGGAGAGCTATATGGAGGATGGTTTGGAGGAGAGAGGTTGTAGATCAAGTGTCCAACTAAGAGGCTACTGTAATAATTTAGATCAGAAGTGATTACGATCTGAATGAGGGCAAAGGTTGTGTGAGTACAGAGAAGGGGACAGATGGAAGAGATATTATGGAAGCAGAACCAATGAGACTAAATATCTAATTGGTTATGAGAGTGAGGGAGAAAGAATGTTGACTCCAAAGTTGTGAACCTGAGTAACTAGAATCAACAAAAATGGAGAAGTTTGGAAAACAGATGAATTATATTTTTTTGTATGGTACCTACAGCATAGCCAAGTGGAGATGACCATCAGGCAGTTATTAATATGAGACCATAATTCAGATATATTGAGAGTATAGAAGGGTATAGGGGGCATGGAAAGAAAAGAGAAAGCCTAGGAAAGCCCCACATTTAGTGAGGAAGAGAATGATTCTAATCCAGGCAAAGACTGGGGAGTCATTAGATAAGTAGAAAGGGAAGCAAGAGACAGCCACATCACAGAGGTCATAGGAGAAGAGTGTATTCAAGAGGAAGGTGGTGCAGATCAGTATCATACTGCAGAGAGGTCAAGGAGAATGAAGACTAAGAAAGCTAATTGGATTTAGCAATTAAAAGATAATTGGTAACTTTAGAGAAAGTAATTTCAGTTAAAAAATGGGGCTGGAAGCCAGATTACAGGGGGATTTGAAGAGTCAATTCTTTTTATCTCTTTGTAAAGATATGGGAAGTGAACATATCATTTTCCTAAGGTAAAAAACGCTAAACAATCAGTCTGCTAGAAGTTTGTTTATGAAAATGCTTAACAAGTCTTTCTTTTTCCCATGCTCAATCTTCCTACCCCATTTTATAAGGAACAAAACTAGCAAAGATGACATACATACCTTTTATTAGAGAGGGGTAGGGTGAATATGAAGGTAGTCCTGGGGGACCTCGGTCACCTATGTCTCCCTAAAGATGGAAAAAGAGAGAATTGTTTATTTAGAGAAAAACTTTTTAAAGTATTTGGAAACATACTTTCAAAAAACAAAGCTGAACTTAAATGTTACTTAAATAAGGCAAGATGTCTTCTTGCTGTCATTCTTAAGCTATCAATAGGTGGGGCATGGCATGACACTCACTGTTATGTGTCTAAGGAAGTAATTCCACAGTATCTAAATTATTCTCAAGATTCAATCTCAGGTCAGTAATGTTTATTTTCCACATCTTTTCTAATTTTACTTCTCTGCCGGTTCTTTCTCTTTGGCACTTGGATCCTTCAAATTACTGTAAATTGATTTGAGTTTCTTCTAGCCATTATTTTTTGGCCAAGACCTACATAAGTTCTTTGGCCCATGCCCCACTAATTATTCCAGTTGTTGCCCTATTCTTTATCATTTTATAATTCCAGCTGTGGTATGTGCTACATAGTGGACAAATGAAAGTATATAATGTACTGGTAAAGGCATACTTCTTTTATTATACTCCTAACTCAGGGTTTTAGGTTCCTCTGTCAGCAATACCCAAGTAAGAACAAGCTTTCTTTCATCACAGTTATCAGTGCTAATTCTTAGCTTCAGTTCTCAAAGCTAGTTCTCACCTTTAGCTACCTTTCTTCCTCATTCTTTTTAAGATCAAGAAACAATTTCTTGGTGCAAACCGTTTCTTTCCCCAGTCTCCATCCCTAACACCAAGCAAGCTAGTAAGAGCAGTGGAAGAAATTTTCCTATCTAAGGGCTTTCAGAAAAGAAATGGGGACCAGGTTATAATCATTGTTCATAGCCCCTCTTGAGACACCAGCATGGGTGGTTCTTTTACTCTGTGCATAAATTTTCACAATGTCTGGGTTGACTGCTGTTTTATTCATCCAATCAAGATGAATTCTCAGATTTACAATACTAAGTCAAGGCAACTGATGGGACTATATTCTAACCACAGGGATAAGGGATAGAAACTGAATCTATGATTTAATCAACACAGGGACACATAAGGAAACTGTCTACCAGTGCAGGCTGGTACCATTTCTGCAACTTAGGGCCTTAGAGAGTTTCCTAGAACAGTGGTGTCAAACTCAGTTAGAAAGGGGGAGGGGGAGAGTGTGTGCCACATATGGACTTAGTTTTAAAATAAAATGTTATCCATATTTTATTATATTTTTATTTATTTTGTTTAATATTTCCCAATTACCTTTTATTCTAGTTGCTGGCTACATGTACAACCAGCTGGCTTAGGGTACTGAGAAGTTAAATGATGTGTCCAGAGTCACATAGAGTCAGAGTCGTGATCTGAACAAAATCTTTCTGGTGTCAAGGCCCCCTTTCTAGTTATGAAGCACTAAAGCTTCTCAAACTTTAATCAAACACAAGAAAAATGAATTAAAATAATTTGATGAAAGATGAACATAATTTCTTGATACTTGTGATAAAGATGTACTACCGGTAGTCCTTTATAGCCGTCACTTCCTGGAAATCCATCAGCTCCTTGTAATCCCTAAGGGAAAAGAAAACCCCCCCAATACCATCAATCATGAATAATCATAACTATTCATTTAGAGATTTATTCCTTAAATATTTTTCAAGTTTTTACAGCAATGTGTTTATATGGATTTCTAATTCCCTAGGGGCAGTTATTCACTACTTTTTTTGAAATAGTTAAGTTTTTCCTTACAGATGGGTATGTGTAGAAATGTGAAGTTTTTTTCAGTCTAGGAATTTAATTTGTTTTGCCAAAGGCAGATCTAAGAGGAACTCCAAACAAACAAAACTCCATGGATCAATGAAATAAGCTATACATTATTTGGCTTCAGATTAACCATATTTTTAAAAAAAAAATTAAGACATCTATTTACCGAGGGATATATGCTTTAAATTATGTGAGAACTCAGTTTCAACTGAGTTTTCAAACTTGAGGTTTCAACAATTAGTTTAGTACTGGGCTTTTAAAAGTTTTGGTTTTGGTCTTCATTCTCTTTGACACTAGGTGGAGCTTAACATTTAACAGAGAAGCAGAATTTTCCAAGTTTTCCTATTCTGCCTGACTCTTCAAGCACACCTAGCATCTGATGCAGAGATAAAATAAGAATTTGTTATAGCCTGTACCTACACAGAAAAAGTGAAGTGGAAATCTGAAAATAATTTATCCATTTAACCTGGACAATATAGTCAATAGGATCACATAGACCTAAATATCAACCTAATTAAATCAGCATCAGGTTAAAAAAAATCAATGTTATTCAGGGCATTTTGATATATGTGTATCATAAATATAGTCAGTTAGATGTCTATTGTTCTTTAATGAAATCACATGGATAATACAAATCTAGGTAATTTAAAGTCTTCTTTAATTCTATGACTTTTGACTTGGAAACATTTTGATTCATTTCTTTGATAAACAGAATTAATTCTTTTTTTTTCCTATTTGTGAGGACAGAATATTTTACCTTGTCTTTCCAGCTATCACACCAAAAGCATAGCTCTAATGAGGATTAGATTTCTGGTCACAATCTTTTAATTGGAAGTTTATGTTTAGATCAAATAAACAGAAATGCACCAAATCTCCATGTTATGGTGTACCGTGTAGCCATAGTTTATCAACTTAGTCATGCTGTGATAACAAATTCACCACTTCTTCCACCACCACCATCATCATCAGTCAAATGCATCAAGCTGTCAAGCAATCACAGTGTTCCACGACATGGACATCAAAAGGGAATGTATCAAAGAAGTTGTCCTTCTTTCTGGGAAGAAAGTGAATCTCCTATAGTGTATTTGAGTGGAGTGAGTAAGGATCAAGCTTTTTTGTATAATTGAACATTGTGAATAACAAAGAAAGAGACTAAAAAAAATTAAAAGATCACATTAAGGACTTCTCCTTGGCATTAGGACTCACAGTAGCAACAATATTTTTAAATTTTTCAGTAATTTTAAAATTATATAGAGAATCCATCTTGTAACATCCATTATAGTTTTGGGACTCTTCTGTGAGTAGTCCCAACCACAGTTAAACCAATGGGAACTGATGGGAAAAGGGAGTGCTGGGATTCCCCAAATAGAGTACTCAATGTGACAACACCAGGATGGTGCTGGAGAATGATCTGAAGAAATAGTTCTCTGAAGAGGAACTTTTGTTTAGAATCCCATTGAGATGAACTCAGGTTTATTTGTTCAATCAATTTATATTTAAGTATGTATGGAAAATCAAAGTAAGCCCTTCCACCTATGAATTTAGATTCTTTGTGAATAATGGGAGAAGTGCCGTAGAATTTCACAAGAACAAATCTTGTCCTCATTTTTAAAAAGGAGAGAGGTGGAGTCTGTAAGTTATATATATTCCAGTTTGACATCCATTCCTGGAAAAATACTAGGGCATATTTATAAAAGGTAATTCTTGTGTAATGATCACTAAAAGTCAGTGTGGCTTCATTAAGAAGAGGTTATGCCAGACTAACTTTTCTTCCTTTTCTGACAGGGTAGCTGGACTGTATATCAGGGGAATGTTGTAGACATAGAATACTTAGATTTCAGCAAAGCATTTGACTAAGCTTCTAGTCATCACATAAGCAAGAGTACGGAATGTGAGCTGACTGATGATACAGATATGGCGAATTTGGAACTGGTTGAATGATCAGATCCAGTCAATAGACATTAATGGCTCCTTGTCAGCTCAGATGAAAAGTACCTAGTGAAAACCCCCAGAAACCTATTCTATGCTGTTCAACATTTTTATCAATGACTTGAATAAAAGGCTCAAATGACATACTTGTCAAATTTGTAGGCTGAAGAGATAGTTAACATGATGGATAGTTTTAATGTGAAACTCAAACTGAAACCATCAGTCTTCATGTCAGAATATTCATGAATAGCTTCAAAATTCTTTCCTTGAGTCTTGTAACAGTGCATATGAAACTCATTTGGCTCAATAACCATGTCTAAATGTGACATCAGTTGAACTTCATGCTAGCCTAATCATGCTTACCAGAAGGATACATGAAGGAATGGCTATTAGAACCTTACTTGTGAGCTCAACACTCTCAAAGGACATTAAGCTCTCAAAGGAAGATTTGTAACAGAACAATTGTAGTTAAATATCAATGAAAACATTTCCATAGCCCTTGCTTATTTTGAAGTAAAAAACCAATTTCATCCAAGAAACATGTTCCTATTCTAGAAACAGAAAGGATAATAATACTTAATTATTTCTTAAGTTGTTAATTTTTATTTGCATATTAATGTCACAATTACTCCTGTGCCATTAGTTTTTTTTCCCTTAAATTTCTTTTGGTATTTTTCCCCTTTTGACCAATCTTCTTCTATGGCTTAAGAATGTTGTTCCTTTTCAAAAGTATTTTCTTTTTTTAAAAAATTTATTTATTTTTAGTTTTCAACATTCACTTCCATAAGATTTTGAGTTCTAAAATTTCTCCCCTTCTCTTCTCTCCCTCCTCCCCAAGGTAGTGTGCAATCTGATATAGGCTCTACATACACATTCATATTAAACATTTTCACATCAGTCATGTCGTAAAGAAGAATTAGAACCAATGGAAGGAACCATGAAAAAGAGGAAACAAACAAAAAAAAATATATGTAGAGAGAGATCAAATAGTTTGCTTCGATTTGCATTCAGACTCCGTGGTTCTTTTTTCTGTATGTGGATAGCATTTTCCATCATGATTCAGAAGTAATGGCTGGAGAACTCATGAATGGGTTGATATCACCATGAGTGCTCTAAGTACAACTGAACATTTTAGGAGCCTTATTGACTTGAGTATGTTCAATTATAAGATGCTAAATTTTGGATTTTTCTCTGCACTTTTGAACACTTGCCACAAGAACTCAGCACCATTTTGGGACTGATGGTCCTGTATCCAATTCTGTTGCCTTGCCTGGGCACATATGCCAACTCTACCATTTAATCAATGGAAAAGAATATTTTTTTCATTGTTTCTTTAATGTGAGACCTTTCAAATACTTGGTAGCTTTTCAGACAGTCATGTTCTCGACAACTTGGGAAGTTAATGGGTTTTCTTGAAGTGAACTCAGAGATTCGAAGTTATGACTCACATGATTTTTGTAAGTTTTCTGGATCAAGTTCTCCTAAGTGCCTTGCCATTTTAAATGATTATCTGGGATAGATTAGAGGAAAAGGAAGAATTTGGGCTTCTAGGAAACGTGATCAGTAATATTTAATTTTGAAGGAATAGAGTACTGAATTCAAAGAAAGTTTAATCATATACTTTTGGAAAGGGTACTACTTGCAGAACTTCTGTAAACTCATAGAAGGAGAGTGGTATGTATATTAGTATTGGAAGCCAAAATCTATTCCTGGGAGTAAATTATCTTTTCTTTTATGCCTTCTAAATGTATTTTTTAAATTGCTGTTTACAATAGATCCCCTGAAGCTGAAACTGGTTTCTAGTTACATTTTATAACATTAAACATCTGAACACAGCTGAAGAGACAGCAGGAGGTAACACCACTTGGCAAGACAAACAGCACATGGTAGAAGGGGTTGTCATATATCATAATGTTATCTAGCAGAATGATAGAGTCATTTGTATGGGCCCCAGCTATTTCCTATTCCCGTTTCTCCCCAATCCCTTATCAAGTAAACCTTGTTCTCCTAACGATCGAAAGAGTCCCACTTGACAGAAAGTATCTATTGTTTCCTGAGCTGTTCCAACTGTGGAGAGCTACATTAAATCAACCAGAAATGAACATCTGGGCCAGGCTCCACGGAATTCCAAAAGAAATAATGATACCATGTGGTTGGAGCATCTGCCTGATACAAATGGCAAATTCACCCAGTAGGGATTTGTGGCATTAGGCCGTATTTCTCATAAAATCACGATCAATGTCTTTTTTTTTTTGAAGGACCATGAAGCTCAGGTGAAGAGATACAAGACTAAATGAGCAAAAGATGGACTAATTTTCAAAAGAGGATGAATTCCTTTGGATGTAGGCCAATAAAGTTGACTTTGATTCATGAAACATTCTTTAACATATTAAAGGGGATGGTTGACAATCATTAGAAAGGGAAACTAAACACTAAGAGCCAGCATAGATTTAGCATGGCTTATGATAAACTAATCACATTTCTTTTTTTACACAAGGTTACTAGAATTAGGTTACTGGGTCAAATGAATGGAATAGGCCCTTTATACTTAAATTTTAGTAAGTCATGCTATCCTTGTAGACAAAAACAGAGAGGTACAAGGTAGATGAAAGTATAGTTGGGTGGATTAGGAAATTGTTGAGTGACCGGAAATAAAGAGTAGTGATAAATGTATTGATGCCAACCTGGAGGAGGGTCTTTATTCGAGTGTTCCTGGGGAACTACTCTTAGCTATGTTGTGTTCAACATTTTCATTAGGTATTTGGATAAAGGCATAGATGACATACTTACTAAACTGGCAAAATAAATCTGGAAGGATGACAGAGTGGAGTTTCTGTTAGATCAGAGATTAAACTTAGTAGAGACAAATGTAATGCCCTACACTTGAGTTCAAAGAAACAACTTCATAAATATAGGGTGCAGAAAATGTGGCCAGAAAGCAGCTTGTGTGAAAAAGATCTGGAGAATTATATAGTCATTAAGTCGATAGTATGACATGGAAGCCCAAAAGATAACATCATCCATCTAAGGTTGCATTAACAGAGGCACGATGTTCAGAATGACAGTCTGTCCCTGGCCAGAATTTAATGGGAGTATTCTGTTCAGCTTTGGGTATCATCTTTTTGAAAGGAAATTGACCAGCTTGTCAGAGGACTGTGACCAAGATGGTGACAGGACTCTACCATAATCAGTTGAAGGAAGTGGGGATATTTAGCCTGGGGAAGAGAATGCTCTGGGGACATGACAGATATTTTCAAGTATTTAAAAACTTGGGTAGAAGATGGATGAAACTTGTCCTGCTTGGCCCCAGAGGAAAGGACTCAGAACAATGTGTGGAAATAGCAAATAGACAAATTTTGGCTTGATAAAAGAGGGAAAAAAATCCTTATAATTATAGTTGTCTAAAAGTGGAATAGACTGCCCATGGAGATAGTGGATTTGCTGACAGTAAAGGTCTTTAAGCAAAGTCTGGATGACCACTTGCTGGAAATTTTAGTTCAGTCATGAGTGGGACTAGATAACTTCTGGAGTCCTTTTCAACTCTGTAATCCTATAATTCTGGGACCTTCTCTATGTTTTAAAGCATTGATTGGGAGACCGAACACCAAATTTTTTCTTCATCTATATGTTATCGTTACTATCTGGGATATGTAAGTTCCTCTTATTTTCAGAATACTATCAATCACTAGGTATTGTGGATCTTTGAAGCAGTGTCAATGCCTCAGCACAGGTTTGGAGACTGCATATGGGAACCAGCAAATAGGGAAACAAGGGACATTATAGCATGTAATCAGCTTATGGCAAAAACCAGTGGTTTAAGTGAGAAGACAAAAGAGTTAATAAAATCAAGATCCAAGCTATAGGTCATAAACTATGGTATGGTTTCAGATTCCATTAGAAGTAGGTGAAAGATAAGCCTGGAAGAATAACCCAGGAAATGCTGTTTGGATTAGCCTTATTAATTACAGGATAGAAATAAGGATCCTGACATGAGGATAGCTTTTGCTGTATCATTAACTTTTAGTTATCTGCTAGTGGCTTATTGACATGGCTGATAATGTAAATGTCTTGGAAGCCAATGTCCAGAATGGTCTCCAGGAGGGGACTTATGATTCCTTCCTAGGTCTGCTTGCAAAGAACTCAGGGGGGCACTGAAGTGAGACTATGCCTCATGTCAAAGTTTCTTTGCACTTGGTAGCACACTCCTTGATTTGGCTATATCCTTGTATCCTATGAAAGGTTCTTCTAGTAAGAGGGTAGGGTAGGGAGGAGGGATGGGAGAAGACTATATTACTAAATTAGGTTAATGAGATTACATGTGGATTTCAGTTCTCTGTGTTTATGCTCCCTTCTGTTAGCATGGAGAATTGAGAATGTAATGTAAAGACTCTGAAATGTCTTTCAGAGTTGTATTTATGTCTGATTAGCACACTTGATTAGAGTAACATCCTAATGAGGTCATGGATTCAATTTCAAATGTGGCAGAATGATTACTGCTGTGCTCTGTGGTCATAGATTCAATTCTTAGCCCCCATCCAGCTGTTTTTTATAAATTCATAGTTAGTTCAACTGGGATCACATAAATGTGTATGGATATATAATTATTATTATTATTAGTTCTAATAGTGACCTTTTTTACATTGAAGTAATTTCCAGATATATTCCCTCTATTGCTACTACCACTCATGTGACTAGCCCCATGAAAGGTTGAGTTACTGAAACATTCTTTGCACAATGAATTGATTTTTTTTTATGCTGGCTTATATGTGAATTGAAAATAAAATAAATTATAAGTATCCTATTCCTGGTACTATATGTCATTAAAAAAAGACTCTACATGAGGTCTAGCTATATCATACTTTTTCCATATAATGCTTTCCTTCAGATAATGGCCAAAAATCTGTCCAAAGAACACATTTTAACATGATTGTCTCATTTAAAAACAAACAAATAAAAGCAAACATTAAAATGAGCGTTACGAATGTATGAGGTAAACATAAAGAAATAGCATGGTGCATTTTATTTTGGTGATATTATGGTACACAGTATTAAAAATCAGATTTGGCCCAGAAGAAATTTCATTAATCCAAACTCCCCTTAGAGATTACCAGCATCTAGCACTGCATTGGACCAAGGAATTTACATATTAAAGAACAGTTTGATAATGAATGAGTGAGGTGGAAGAAAATGAGAAGCCTGGCTTATTCATATAGTAACCTGGGTTATCCACCTAGGGCTAAAAGATGTAGATCCTTAAAGTTAAGAAAAGAAGAAGCAAAGGGATAACAACAGAAGGACTTAAATCTCTGAGTTCGCGGAAGTAAACAAATGCAGGATGACTTGATCCTGGTCATTCTGAAAGGGACTGAAGAGTAAGGAGCACCAACATTATTAAACATTTAAATAGTGTTTTAAATGTTTCTCATTAATGAAAGTTTGACATAACTTTTGTTATGTGTGTGTGTGTGTGTGTGTGTGTGTGTTGTTGCTGTTGTTGTTGTTGTTGTTGTTGTTTGGTGATCCAAAATGTCTCACTTATAGAAAAGACTCATTTTGGTACCCCACACTTACTTTGTCTCCTGGTTCTCCTCTTGCACCATTGATGCCTGGTGAGCCCTGAATTGACAAAAGAACAGTATCAGGAATGGTCTCAAACGAGCCTCTAGGGAAGACAGTATCTTTATATCAGTAAGGCACTATGATAGAACACTCTTTCCTTTTCCCTTCAGAGTTCATTTAAACTTTTAAGTGACTTTTAACCTTAAAAAAGATCAAAACATGATGTGTTCAGTATAAAGCTAGTCCTGTGCAAGGAGAAATAAACAGTAACGAGCTACTGGATGTGGGACATAGCAGGAAGAACCACACCACAGATGCTTGTGGGCTTTCACTTTGGTGAAGATACCCCAGTCACATCCAGAGGGACGGATGAAACTTATTTTCACATCCTGTATATTTTAATATCAGACTAGTGGATGTATCTTGGGAATTATTTTATTTCTGTAGAAGACAGTAATGTGCCAAAAAATCTTTAGCTTTACTGAGTCAAAAATTTTTTGTTAGATTTATAGTTAATATCTTGGTTTGCCTTTTCATTCATTTCTTCCAAAGACTTATATTTCATTCTTTTGTTCCAGTCTCCTCCACTTGGGAGAAAACCCAGCACCAATAGCAGTATATACCCATAGGGCATGTTGCAATTGTTCTAGTCTGTATGAAAACAGAGGTCTGGGAGTCAATGGTTTATGGGAATTGTTCTGTGGCAGTTCTTTATATCAGAAAATGATATTCACATTCAAATTAGGAGGACAAACATGTAGTCCCAAAGTAAATATATGGTATTGTTTTGAAAGCTAAGAATATTCTTCAGCGTGACATATTTTCCTGAGAAAGAAACCTTGGAACTTCTGTAGGAACAAAATAATTATTTAGGTCCCTTTTCCCTTTCATGTGAATTATCCCATAGCAAGCTGCCATATGCATTCAATTAAAAGAGAATGGTCCTAAGACTACCTGAAAAACTTCTGGATCAAATTTCTGTAGAGTTCCCAAAGAAGGGTAAAGAACCATTGAGGTCAGCTCTCCCACATTCTGGGGGTGGGTAGAAGTTTAGGTGCATGGGATTGTGTGGTACAAAGAGAAGGGAGGGAAATTAATTATAGAAATATATAGATTACAAAAATTAAAGACTCCCTTTATTCTTCAAGAATTTTGGTTACTTTTGGCACAAATTTTCACAAAATCTACTCTCTTACTACTTACATGGAGTTTAAGCTAATGTGAAGAGATCCCATAGCCTTAAAAATGTCTTTGAATTCCTGATTTTTAATTGCAAAGCTAGAAAATCAATGGAAACACTTCTGCCTTTTATTCCCATAGATCACCAAAGTTAGATTTTAAAAATATTTATAAAGTGAGTGATTTACCCGTGGTCCTGGAAAGCCCACTATTCCTTCTTCACCTTTTTCTGAAATTCCCTAGGGGAGCAAGTATAGAGATGAATTAGTATATGATCTAGCATATGGTATTTGTTCTAATTGGTAGTGTGACTGACCCTTCACGTTTCCAGAAAGTTCAGCCTTCTATTTTTTTAACTGTACTACCAACATAACTTTCACAATAACTTTCACATAACCTCTCCAAGTTGAACTTCTAATTCTCTGCTTTTTTTTTTAATAATACCCCAGAAAATTCTTCACCTGGATGTTCACTCCACCCCTGGACTCCATCCTGGACCTCACACATTGGAAATACTCTCCATTCCAGCAATCTCTTGCTCTGGCTGGTTCAACCCAGAACCTTCATTTTAAGGAGGAGTCTCAGGCCAGTGGAATGTCTTCATTCCACTCCAGCCTTTACACCTGAACCTAGCAGATTTTCTCTTACAATGCCTGTGCATTGGGTACTTTTATGTCCTACCACTATTGCCTTTTCAGCTCTCTTTTATGTGTTGGCTTTTTCCATTAGGATGTAAATTTCTCGAGGGCAGATAATTTTTCTGCTTGTATTTGTATTTCCAGTGCATAGTAGTGCCTGGGAAATAACATGAGCTTCGTAAATGTTTGTTGATCTGACTAACTTTACTATAATTCAGTGATGATAACACAATGATGACATGGTTTATAAGCTAGGATGAGAAGTTATCTTGAAATATCACAAGTGAAAGGAATATCACGCCTTTCCTTTCATAGGAAAAACTTTCCAGTAGAACATGAGCTCTGTGAAGGCAGATTTTATAATTCCAGTGCCTAGGATAGACCTTGGCACATGGTACATACTTAATAAATACAGACTGAATTGAATCATTAAAAGCCATCATAGAGTTAAAGGAACATTGCCTTAGGACTTGCTGATCTATTGCAAATCCAAATGTGAGAACTGGAGCCCCTTCACCTGCACATGTTGTGAAGCATCTGGTGATGCTTTGCAAATGATGGAAATGCTGATTAGCTAATATTTAATATGCAGATCCATATCTGAAATTCTTTTCAAATCCATTACTTTAAAAAAATTGAAAACAAGGGAAAAGATAGATGAGAAACAAAGGTGACATAATTAGTTTGTGATCACAGCTTCTAGATATTCTAATATTTAAACTAAGAAAAACCCAAATAACACAGTATTTTTCAATGGCAGGTCATGCTTAAGGATGTTTTACATCTGACTTACACTCCAGCCTGGATCTCCCCGGTCTCCTTTTTCACCCTTGTAAAAAACATGAAAAGTAAAAGTAATGAATAAGCCAACAACAAAAATATTTCAAAGTATATCAGACTTTATTGTATGAAATGAAATGGACTCAAGAAAATGATTATTTTGGGTAGATTATTGTTAGCTCTAATAGTAACAAAAACTGAAAAAGAGTTTAAAATTGATGTTAAAGAGTTGATTTTTAAGAGTTATGAACATATGATTTACAAGCTTTATGATTTTATGACCTTATGTTAGTAAAATTAAAAATAATTTTGTTTGGGTATCTTATAACATATCTGGATATATCCAAACTTATGAAATTTGATGACCTATATGAAGAATATCTGTGGCAAAATTTTAATACTAGTCACCTTATGCTCTGCTGGGTCTATATTTGAATCACTGTTGTAGCCATGTACACTCAAGAGAATTCAACTAATTTTAGCATTAGCTTAAATAAAACATAATTTTGAAGGTTAATTTTTGCGAAGACATAAATAATTCATCACTGCACTAAAAATAAGTATTTTGAGATTAGCTTCTGTTTGAAATGATCCTTTTCCCTGTTCTCCAATAGTGGGGATAACTGAAATTTGAGGATTATTATTCTCTTGGATGAGGAATAGATTTAATCTAAATAATGGTGCCATAATAATAATAATAATAATAATAATGGATATTTACATAGCATTTTAAAGATTTTCAAAGATCTTTATATATAATATCTAAGTGATGCTTACAAAAATTCTGTGAGGCACTATATTATTCCCATTTTACAGATGTGGAAACTTGGACTCACAGAGGTTAAATGATGTGCAGAGACATTTAATGACTTTTTCCCAGGGTCATATATTGCTAGTAAATATCTGAAGTAGTATTTGAACTCAGCTCTTTCTGTCTCCAAGATTAGCACTTTATCATTATAGTATGATGCAAATGTTGAATATTGATCTCACAGTTGTTGGTGGGTTCTTTTAACTAAAAATTCAACATTTACTTATTTTTTCCTAGCAGCTTTTATGAAGTCAATTGAATTTGACCAGTAATGACTTCTCAGACAGAAAGAAATGTTTTGATTTAATGGTAATTGAAGAGTTTCATAAATGATAATTTGTTAACTCTCACATCTTCTCTGCGCAGTTAGTTTTAAGAATGATCAGCTTATGACCAAGATTTAAATGATTATCTCCAAAATTTACATGATATTTCTCAACATGGAAAGATTAAAAAAGTATGCTAATTCTAATTGTGATAATTTGACCAATCATGAATCTGAATACATTTCTTTAATGAAAATATTTGTACTTTTATTATACAACTGTATGCTTTATAAAAAGGCTTGACTTAAAGACATTTATTTTATTTCAGATTCCAAAAAGTGTCTTATTAGAATATAAATTGTTATTAAGAACTTTAGAGATTGTGTGAAATAAACTTCACTGGCCCTCAGAGAAAAAATATTGCTCTACTGACAACATTGAGAAAACAGAGTGTGACTTCATTTTATAGAATTCAATTTTCCACTATAATAAAAACTACACTTGTTCAGTTCTTATAAACTAAGCTTAGAATCTATGCTGTATTCATTTTCCTATGCCTTAATGAGAATTCTAGGTACACAGGAAATAATTCTTTGGGTTTTGGAATGTCATATTGCTTTGACCTTAACAAAATTTCTGTACTATACTAGAGTGGCAGACATGTTTGATGTCATCACAATAATTGAGTGGTATTTTATCTATTTGGTCCCCTCTTAAAAGCACCTAATGTCTCTGTAAAGGAAAGAACATTTTCTCTTTTGTTGTTCAAATTCTTTTGTTGTACACTGTGTCCCTTTTCAAGCCCACAAAAGATTACAATTTCAAAGTTACTTATTTCGAATCATTTACTGAATTTCAACACAGCACCTTTACCTTATATTGATCTATTTGTTCCAGCACATTTTCAGTAATGGTAATAGAAACTTCACTCTCTGATGGAATTCCAGTGGGACCGGGCCGCCCAATATCACCCTATTAGGCAATGATAAAGAACAATTTAGCAGTGGAAGCTACAGTTTTTAAAGGAGGGATCTTTGCTTGTGAAGAATGGGATTGTTTCTCATGAACTTTAGGAATGACTTGTATATTTGAGTTGAGTTATTGATTATAAATTTATGAGAACTGTCCTGATATACTCTGTTTTAGAGATAATATACTGCTTTCTTGCCTCAGGATCTAACTATAGAAACATGTATTCCTGCTCTTTTCTTCTTTCCTTCCTTTCTTTTTTTGGTTACCTCTCACAATGTGTCTCACAGTCTTCCATAAATTCTGCAAAGTAAGGATATGGTCTGATTAAGCTCAAATCTCAATGTTATGGGTGAATCAGACGCTGATCAAGCTTTTCATTCAGTCTTTTTTTTTTTTAATCAATATCACCTAGAGTGAACCAAAAATGTGGGCCTCTACATTGTCACAATGAAGAACCAGGTTCCTCATTTTAGGCAAAATGATTCAAATGTGCATATTTTCATTATCGTGTAATAAAGGTAATAACAAGTCAGTAATGAAAAGAATTGTTTTCTAAATGTTGAACATAAATAATTTACTTCCAGTCAAGGCTTTAATTTGTCACGGCTCCTTTACCTTTTCACCCTTTTCACCATAAAAACCAAGGCCTCTGTTGCCCTGAAAAGAGAAATCGTTTTTAGTAGGTAGGTAACATCGAACAAAGGTAAGCATTCATAATGAGGTTAAAAGGAATGTTCACCAAAGCTCTAGCTCTCTGAAACATTACTGGAGGTAAAACTGAGCTTACAGAATATTTTTACTTTACTTCAATAAAACCAACAGCCGGAAGAGAGTTTCTAACTATTTCCACCAATACTCATGTATGCAGCATCAGTGTTTGAGCACAAATAATTACACACAACTTATTCAGAAACAAAGACCCACAACAAATCAGGCCGAGATAAACTGTGCTCTAAATGGGGAGGACTGAAATCAGGCACTTTAGAAAAACGGTATTTTAACTGAACGGTGAACTACAAGGAAAACTGCCACCACTCAGGTCAGATGGGTATTTATCTTTTCATTGGTGATCTTTCAGAAAATTCTATAACTTTCTTTTGAAAGTTAGTGTGTCAAACAACTTTACGGCCAGAGAGTTCTCTATTCTCTCAAAATTACTCTTCTCACAATGTAAACCTATTTCTTTTTGTATATTCCTCCAGGGAGCTTGAGAACAGCTTGTACTATTTACATGATGAGCCTTCATATATCTGATGACCATTCATTACTTGTTCTCCCCTCAGATGATCTCTTTTCCCAATATCTCATAGGGCCTATGTTCTCATTCTTTCCCCTTTAAAAATATTTTTCCTCTTTCATATTATTTTTCAATTATAAGACCCAAACTATATTACTTAGGCCATCTACTCAAAACCATCAAGGTTCTTATCATTTTGCTATTCACTGTATAGCTCATACATACACACACACACACACACATATATATATATACACATACATATATACATACATACATGTATGTGCATATATATATATATATATATAAATGTTTGTTCAGGTATATGTACATTATGTATGTAGGTATATATATATCCATATCTCATTTGCAAAACCCCAGAGGGGCAAAAAGAGAAAACCACAATTGCATGCAAAAAATGGAAAGGCCTCTCTTTCCCCCCTCTAATCCCTTTTTCTTTTTTTTCTTGCTCCCTTCTTTTCTCCTAAATTAACATGTTTCCCATAAGATTCCCCTCCATCTGATCTTTCTCTTTCTAATATATTATCCAGGCCCATGTGCTTCGTAAAGATAAAAACAAATCTTTTCATTAATTTTTTCTTTCACTGTCTTTCCCACCTGGTTGGAAACTTAGATCAAAGCAGAGAAATGAAACCAGCCTAGCTTGAAGCTGGATGAATTTCAGATCTTTGCATCATCTCTGTTTCCTTTCTCTCACCCACCCTCCCTCCCTCTTTCCCTCTCTTCTTGCTTCATCATTTGGCCCTAGGAGCAACCAGGAAATGACAGTGTCAGGAGGTGAGGAGAGCTGTTTGTATTTGAAGAAGCAAAGGGAGATCTGAAGCTCTGGGGTTACGCTTGTCGGACTTGGAGGCTGCTTTCTGGGCCAAGGTTGTCCTGTCCTACATCCGCTGCTCTTGGCTCTGGTAATTTCCCATCCTGCCCAAGCCTGCTGCTCCATGGGGATAGGACCAACAGCCTTGGCTGGGTAGTTATAGCAAGCCCCTGTTCAATTCATTGAGGGCAGCATCAGCCATGAGTGGACCATATAAATAGGAAGTTCTATAGGGATAGCTTGGTATATTTAGAGATCCAAGATTTGAAGAAAGTTTCTGTGTGGCAGATGCATGGATACATGCCATAAAGTCACATATCTTCTGCTTCTCCTGCGATGTCTTTGGTCCTTTTCAAAAATGAAGGACAAGCAACGGCAACTGTAGTACAATATTTCTGACTTCTCTAGAACCTTTGCTAACACATTCATTAATGGAGCATGTTCTGTTTTAGACTGTCTATTTAACTCATCACTGGATGAGTTAAATAGAGGATTTAGAGCAGGAAGGGACCTTACAGGACATCAGTACACGATTTGCCCAATGTCACACTGCTCGTGGGGTTTGGGCCAGGTCTTCCTAACTCCAAGTCCAGTGCTCTATCCCCTACATCACAGTTATGTTCAAGTCAGAGCATAGCCATCTAAAGCTCCAGCCAAATCTCCCAGCCCAACATACCCTATGGACTTAATGATCATGGAATCAAAGAGTGTTAGAATTGTATGAGATTTCAGAGATTCAACCATCTCACTTTATACATGAGGATACTGAAATGAGTTTTCTCCCTCTATGTCAACTGAATCAGTGACAAAAAGCTTGAGGCCCTAGTCTATTATGGAACAACCATGGTAGAACCATGTTTGTGTTCAGAAAACAAGAATTCTGTGGCCCTTCAAGGAAAAGTTTCTGCTTATTCAAGTTACCACTAACTTGTATGTAAAGTATTTCTGTACCTCATACTGTTTTTTTTTACCAGTTGTGATACACATTTATAGCTTAACATGAAGCTTTTAAAAAACTTACAAAGCAAGCATCCTTCACAATTAGCAAAAATGTCAGTAGAATAGTTCTATGATTAAAAAAAAAGCCCATGAAAATAAATGAGAGGGAAATAAGCAGTAATACAGTGCCTACTATGTGCCAGGCACTACTAAATGCTTTATAAATATCTCATTTGATTCTTACAACAACCTGGTGAAGTAGGTGCTGTTATTATCCTCATTATACAATGGAGGAAATGGAGGCAGACAGAGGTTAAGTGACTTGCCCAGGGTCACACAACTAGTAAGTGTCTGAGGTCAGATTTCAACTCAGTTCTTTTTTAACTCCATCTCCAGCACTCTGGTCCACATAGCTTCCAAATAAGGCTATTTGAGAGAGAGGAAGAGGGAGAGATAGAGACAGACAGACAGATAGACAGACAGACTTACTGCTTGTCCTTTTGGTCCTGGGGGTCCAGGAGGTCCCTACAGAAATAAAAAAGATAATTTGTTAATTGAATTCTCTATAGAAAGGACCTTGACAAAACTTGTTGAGATATGATAGGAACATAATTCACTACATATTCAAAACACAATTTAACATCCATAAAGGTTTACAACACATTTATTTATATATGGGCACAGGACTGTGTAGAAGTAATGCGTGGGGTCACCTAAGTGATGCAGATATCCTTTCTATCTCTGAATAGCTGCTTTCAGTCCTATTCATTCGTTTATCTTTCTGAGTTCACTTAATGACTACATTCGGTTGTTCTGTCCCCAGCATTTGATGGTAAACACCTCCAGAACAGGGACCAGATCCTTTAAAATCCTTTGTAATTCCTCACAACATCTAGTCTTCCTGACTATAACTCTGTGGGATAGGCCATCAATCAGTCAGAGTACCAAGAGTCATTTTAAAGCATCTTGGATGTTGAAATGGCTACATTGTCTAAGAACAAGCATTTAAATACACCAGAATATAAAGAAGTGGAGAGGATGAATGTTGGCTTTCTATATGGAAACTCAAAACTTTAGTCAAAATTTCCAGAACTTCCTATTAAAATAGATAAAAATTATGTATAAAAAGCAACCATTTGAAATATGAAGCCTCAGTTTACTGTGACCCATTTGTAAGTTATTCCTATATGAAACACAGGGACATTAAATTTCACCTTCAGACCATAGCCCTGAGCTATTCTTTGTGTGTAGGTGAGTGTATACCAAATTATGTGTTTGGAGGGTGAAGTATCTTAGGGTCACTGACTGATATTCTTGGCTTAATTCCATTAGGAACAGCTACTTAATTTCACGGTTAGTAGTTGACCTACATATTAGATTATTGTAACAATGGGGCAACTGCTTAGGAAAACAAAGTCTCACAGGACTAGAAAGAACTTCATGACATAATCTGGACCAGCCCTGTAATTCCCAAAAGGATAAAATTTAAATCTTCCTACATATGTGCGTTGATAAACACCTTCAAGATTTCCAGAGTAGCAGATCTTACAACTCATCTTTATATCTTGCTTCAGTATTTAACAATGCTTCTCAATTTGATTTAGTTTGACTCTCTTTAAGTCTAGTTCCTCTTATCTGATACTCTGGAAGACCTGAGATTCAGAAAATGACCAGTCCTCAAAACATTTAGGATTAGTTTCTAGCAGTTTGATTCAAGTCAAGTGTGTGGTCCTGAGTATTAAGTGAAGCAGGGTGCCTTCTGTATAGATACATACAATTTTTTTTGTCCCTAATCCTCTCTCTTGCATGACTTTAGCACCCATCACATCTCAACCTACCATTACTGGCAGGATGGGGAACACTACTGGACTCCCACACTACCAAATGATACCCAATCTCCTTTCTCCACACTAGCCTCGAGCAAAGCATGATACTAAATTGCTCATCCTTTATTGTCAGGGATCCAGGGCTGCTTAAACAAACTTCCTTGGTCCAAAGATACTCAGATCTTGCTTAAGGCACAGTGTGCAAGAGTTGAGTAGTACTAGACAGGTATTGCTTTTCACATATATGTTGAAGTATCCACCTGCGACCAAAGCAAAATTTGTCCTCCCCACAGTGACCTGATGACTTAAATTGAAGCCCTACTCAAAATCTATTTTGATCAAAATGACACGTAGGAAAGGATTCTGTTTTTTTTGTTTATTTATTTTTGGCCTTGCTGTTTTCTACAATGACCAGAGGTTTCATAATATAATGTGTAGGCTGTGTAAATGGTAGCAAAAGAGAAAACTGAATTGGTGTATTAAGTTGACTTACCGGTCGTCCAGGGGCTCCAACAGGACCAATTTTTCCCGGACTGCCAGGATAACCTGGAGGACCCTGTGTAAATGTAACAAAAGAATATTATTTTGAAGACTGTCATTAATAAAAATTAGCCAAAGTAAGACTTTTTAAAAAATGAAACTTACTGGTAAACCGATAAAACCAGGTTCGCCCAAATCGCCCTAATGAAGATAAAACATGTACAAATAAGATTCAGAGTATGATCATTTAAAAATATGATTCTGTATTGCTGTTAACATTTAAAATTATGAGATGGAATAGATTACAAATATATTGCAATTTAGGTTACCTTTTAACTCAGTCTTACAATTAAGGACAACCACTCATTTATCAGTCCATGATTTTTTTTTTTTATACTAACTTGTTCTCTCTACAGAAGGCTTACAAGTAAGCACAAGAAATAAAACCCACATGCTTTATTATTCTTCAGTCAGAGATTATTGCAATATTTGTTATGTTTAAAGGGCTGCGGCAAGGCTTCTAGATCTGCATGATTACCAAATGAATTGTTACACTTATTAATTGGACAGTGATCCCCCATAAGGTGTGCCATTATGAGCAAGGAATAAAGTGGTGATTCTTGGGCAAACGCATTAAGAATCATGGAAACAATTCTATCACCTAAAATAGAAAACATCTCCACCTGGATGTCCCACCCCCACCTCACACTCAGTATATCCCAAATTGAACATCTGCTCTTTCCCTCAAAATCTTTCCCTGTTCCTGGCTTTCTGGGTTCTCTTAATGACGCTACCATTCTCCTAATCATAGAGGCATCAAACTTCAGCTATCTTTGACTCATTGTTTCCCCTATATGTCCATGTGGTTGTCAAGTCAAGTGGATTTGATTTTCCCAAAATCTTGCACAGTTTTCTTCTCCTTTCTACTGCCTTTGGGATACAAGCACAGTTCAAATCCTCATTTCCTCTTCTTGGGACTATTACATTAGCCATCCAACTGGTCTCTCTGTCTCCAGTCTTACCCATTTTTAATTAAACTTCCAATAGCTGCCAAAATAATTTTCCTAATGTTTGGACCTGATCTCTTAAAAATATTTTGATTAATCAACACTTCAAAAAATGCTACCTGGTTTATCAAGAGCAGGCTTACACATGCTTATCCATATTCCTTGTCTAGATATTACTTCATCTACTTGTTTAGACATTACGTAAATGTTAAATATTTGTTTAGACATAACTTAAATGTTATGTATTTCATAATAGACACAGCCTTTCTTTTTTCCTAAACTGATTTTTAGTATAAGATCTCCCAAAAAGTGTTGAGTAAAAGGATTTTTAACGAACTGAATTTAATATATTTCACTGCTGGGTGGTGTTTTATGTAGCTGCCCAATTTATAAAGCACGAAAAACCCACAATACTGATAAAAATAGCTTCCTTCTCAAAGATTTCACAAAAAGACTGAAAGTCATGATGTTTTTCTTCAGTCATTTCAATTGTGTCTTACTCTTCATGACCCTTTTTGGGGTTTTCTTGACAAAGATACTGCAGTGATTTGTTATTTCTTTCTCTGGTTTATTTCATAGATGAGGAAACTGAGGCAAACAGGGTTAAGTGACTTGCCCAGAGTCACACAGCTAGTAAGTGCCTGAAGCCATATTTGAACTCTGGAAGATGGGTCTTTTCTGGCTGCAGGCCTGGTATTCTGTGCACTATGGCACCACCTAACTCCCCAAAAGTCATAAAATCTACTATCTAACATTCTTTCTTTGCAGGTATATATTTCTATTGCTATTAATCTTATTCTTGATGTGAATTATACACAGGGGATTCAATTAGACGAATTCAAGAAATGTTTAGGGTTAGTGTCTGTTGAGGCACAATAGAACACTGTGTTAGACAATGAGCGAGATACAATGTTCTAATAGGATGATGGACCCTCCCTCCTCGTTCTCATGGAATTCGTAGTTTAATGGAAGATAGTGATGGGGTATGGGCCCAAGCCAGACCTTTGCCCCTCGCCCCAAAAAGAATTTGGGTCCCATTTGTTTACGGGCTCCAGAAAACCCCTGAACTCTATTTGAACTTTTACCTGGTCAAGGAAATCTAGCAGTCCCCTGAAGTTCATTTTCCTATCAACTAGCTCTTCCTTATTGCCTAGGCCCAATCTCCCAATTCTTTGTTAACCTAATTGAAGTCTAGCCCTTCCTTGTCTATTGCCTGATAGCCCCAGCATCCCAACCTATATCTTATCCAGGCCCATTAAACCTCCCACATACTCCCATTGATAATTCTCCCAGTCACCTCAGCTTCAAGAGCCTCCCTAAAATCCTCCTCTAGTACTGGCCACTCCCATCAAGACACCCCTTCTCCCACACCCCCTACCCCCCACCCTCCCTCAACCCAAACACCTTGACCACACCTAGATCCCTCCCATAGTCTTTCTGTATATAAGATCCATCTTGGCCGCCATTTAGGCACCCTCCTCATGCCTGCTCCTCCTTACAGGCATCACAAATGGTCAGATTGATTAGGAGTTTGGCGTATATGGCTCATCTTTAATAAATGTTGTCTTTGGCTGAAAGAAGGCTTGGGACAAATTCTTTTGGGCAGGACCTGCATGTTGTGATTCTGGGGTCCCAGCACCCCTAAACCTCTAGACCTCAACAATATGACTGACAGACACATAATAACTAGGGCACTAAATAATCCATGAATTAGTATTACACATGAAAGTTTCAAACAAAATATTGTGGGGGGAAGGGTCATTTTCTCTCTTGGGCCATAAGGGAGAGCTTTTGGAAGGAGATGGAATATGAGATGAGTTTTAAAGGAAAGGTTTGAATTTAGCAAAAAGAGTGGGGCAGGGAATTCCAGGAACGGGAAACAATATGAGCAAAGACACAAAAACAGGCAAATGTAAGGCTTTATATGGGCAATTAGAGCACTATAATTATTTAAATACTAAAATTGTCTGGATGATAGAGAGTAGAAGTTGCAGAAAGAAGCAATAAGAGAGAATGCTGGGAAGGTAGAGTGACTCCAGATTATGGAGGGCCTTGAATTCTAGGTCAAGGGCTCTCAATTGAGCTTGGTAGTCCAAAGAAGATTACTGCAAAGGTTGTGAATAGAGAAATTGGAGGACTGACTGTATGCATATGGTAAATAAGTTCCATGATGCTGTGAAGGATTATTTAGAGCAGAGGTGGGAAGATCCGGTAGGGGACTATTGCAATAATTGACAAGGCAGATGGTAATGAGAGTGTGTACTAACATGGTGGCAGTAGGAATAAAGAGGATGGGAGAGGTGCATAAGCTATAGTAGAGGTAAAGTTTAGATTAATCCTTCTATACTGACTCATTAAACTTTTTAACATTTATGAATGAATGAATGAATGAATGAATGAATGAATGAATGAAAAAGTAGTTGAAGCAATGTTTCACAGAACCTAGCAGAAGCTACTAGTATAGAAGGATGTTTGAGAATGTCTAATAAATTCTTTCATATTGATAGTCATTTTCATGAACACCTTCTGAATGAAACTGTTAAATTGGATTTTCTCTACATTTGTATTATTCTGAGAAGACGGGATCCAGATAATCAAGAAACTTAGGGAAATATAATGGCTTTGTCCACAGCTGTGCTTTGCATCAATCCGAGACATTAGTGATTCTATTCAATCTCAGCCTGACCTATGGAACAGGCATGAAAGATAAAGAAGCTTTTTATGTTCTCCAGTCTGGTTTTGACAGGGTTGCCTTTCTACTTTCTTTGGAGTGATGTGAATTCCCAGAGTATATCACATATTCAAATATGAGTACAGCAATGCATTTCAAATGGAAATATTTTTTGATTATTCCCTTTAGGATTCTTACACCACTGGTTTTCCCATTATTTCACATAAACTTGAGTTAATGGAATATGAATTCAATAATGGTTACTGGGTTAAACTCTCTATAGTATTGGTTATGTACTTACCCTGTATCTATCTCGATCAGCCTGAGAAAATGCGTAAGGTTCACCTTTCTGACCTTTGGGTCCTTGTGGTCCCTAAATAAGCAAATAGATAAAAAATAAAACATACAACAACCACAAAAACAAATGCACATTTTTAAAAAAAGTAGGCAGTAATGTTTTAGTTGAACTTTTGTGGAACCAAAATTTTCAGTTTCCACCTCTGTAGATAATATCTAGCTACTCTCATAGTAGGAGTGTGTGTCTAATTAGGACACAGCATATGCTGCTCTACTGCACGATTTATAAACTTGTCTAAATAATTAACAACTAAGTACTTAGTGGTAGAGTTACTTAGTTTATTCCTTACCCTGTGCATCATATTTATATGCAATATTATTCTAGTTTAATATTATCTGAAATTATAACTCTAAGATATAAATTAATAGAACATATTTGTATTTTATATTTATATGAATCTTCTGAATATTAGTCTCTTAGTAAATGTAGAAATCAGTTGTATTTCTTTTTATAAAAAAGATTATGGGCTCTCCTTAGTTGGTCTCCTAGTGGTCTAGAAGAGTTAACAGGATATTCTAAGCCCCTTAGGCATGAGGAGGAATCTGAGTTATTATTTCAAAGATGATATTTCCCTCCAATACAATCTGTATAGGTGTGTGTATGTGTGTGTGTGTGTGTGTGTGTGTGTGTGTATCTAGGAAATCTAATCATTAATTTTGTTTTGCAAAATGGAAAAGGGGAACCTGAGAGGGACGTGTTGCTGAAATATTCATGGAGTACTTTATGAATATGCTAAAAAATGAGATTATAAATAAAATTTAAATCCTAATACTTCAAAAGATTAAGGCTTCCATCAGTGTGAGTACTCTTGTCAATAACACAGATTGCCCCTGCTTTTGTAATTAGTAGATCATTTCCATGAATTATTGAGGTCAAAAAATAAAAATTCATTACTTAATGGCCAACTTGCTGATCATGAGCCTCTTCAAGCTTGATTAGGTTGGTCCTTAGACAACAAACACTCAATCTGTTGAGGCCATTCTTGAAGGTGAGAACTGGCTTGGTGAGACTGGCCAGCATTTGCAGTGTGAAAGCATGATAACAATCAAGAACGCATGTTCACCATCAAACTATCATGGCACAATGACATAAGTCTTTAATGGAGGATGGATAACTGATTATTTTGTCCTTGAGGCACAATATACAAAGAATACTCCATCCTTAAAAATAAAGGAAAACCCACTGGGCTATCACAGGCATTGTTCAGGAAGATTAACTCTGTTCATCACGAAAATATTACAGTCTAAAGAACACAGTGACTAAAAGGACAAACAGAAATAGTTAGGGGTTTCACAATACGCTTAAAAAATCTTTCTAGTTTTATCAGTTTCAGGATCTTTGGTGGCCAGGTAGAATACGACGTGAGAAAATGAGAGGAGGCAACTCCTCTTAGGACATAAACTCCAATACAAAACTGATCGAAAGTGTTTGCTCTTTCTTAATTATTTCTAAGGAAGGAAAAGGGAAAGGATTATGATTTGGATCTAGGGAATTTATGTTTTGCCTTTTCCTCAAACTCAAATATGCTATCCCAGATTTTGAAGGGAAAGGTTTTTATAGGTGGTAGCTATCATGATGAGAGAGTAGCTCTAGCTCACAAAAGTCAGAGGAGAGATATAAGTGATTCTCTTTCCATTTCTATTCTAGAGGAAAATTGAAGCAATTTAAGTTGCCTCAAAAATGTATAGCAACAAGGATAAAATACTTTTGAAATACTATACTAAAGATGCTCACTTTAAAAGGGAATATATAACCACTATTAGGGACATATTTTTTTCCTAGGACAAACTGAAGCACCAATATCATTGGCTATTTACAAGTGATACAATTTATGGCACTTTAGTAAAAAACTTCTTAGAATTTAGGGTAACTAGTTTCTTATCTTAATGAATCCATAACATTGCAGAGAAATGTACAGAGTTAAGGTTAAGGCTTGGAAGGAACCTTAAAGTTCACCAAGTCCAACCTCACTTTTTTATATATGAGGAAACTGAAGTTAATTGAGGTCACATGATTTGCTAGAGTTGATTCAAATAGTCAATATCAGAGACAGGATTTGCCTTCAGGTCTTCTGAGTCCAAATCCAACACTCCTTCTACTGTACCATACCCAAGTGATGGTCTATCAAATATTACTTATTCAAAGTTCATCACTTTTTTTTTCCAAGAACAATTAGTTGAAGCCAACATATTTGTACTAAATACTTACAGGGAGTCCAGGTAAACCCCCAGAACCTGGAGGTCCCTGTGTACCAGCATCTCCAGTGGTTCCATTGCAACCATCACTGCCTGGTCTTCCCCGGGGTCCACCTTGACCTGGATGACCCTGTGAAGGAAAAAAAAAGTGTTAATACCATCTGTTTCTAGTTTTCATTTTTCTGCCCCAATAGAGTTTTTCAACATTCTCACAGAGTCCCAGGCTTGAATCCACAGGAAACCAGTGTTCAAAAAAAGAAGAAAAGAATACTTTATTTTAGCATAGATACAGCTGTAATCAGATGCCTCAGACATTATAAAAATAGTATCAAGCAAAGGTCTTTAGGGCAAATTAGTGCAGCTATGTTTTGGCTAAACTTTTAAAAGAGAAAAATGTATTGAGGGTTCCCCAAATGCCCTTGAGAGTTAGGAGGAACTGGGAGAGCTGTTCTTAAAAAAAAAAAAACTGAAAAAAATGTCTTCATAAGAATTATACTAGCATTCAGCTCCTTTTTAGGGATGGCACAAGTTTCTTCTTTAGGTCTATACAGTGTAACTCTGGCTGTGCCTATTATCTTAGCCTGGATTAAGATGATCAGCATGGAGTGTCCTAAAAGCTTCTAGCTTCTAAACAAGAAATTCTTCAACCACAGCATGGATACAATCATGGCATGATACCAATGCGGGAGGTGGCTTTGATCCCATCTTATTTCCTTTATAAGGAAAGCATTTACTGTCATGCAATGTCCTGAATCAGTTTTTTTTTTAGAAGGGGGAGGGACTAGAATATTATGTATCCTTTGAGTAACTGGAGAGTCAGACTAATTTGGTCCCAGTTTCCTGGAAATGGAAGAAGTCTCAATTAGTGATCTTATATTCCAAAATTTAGGTATCACACAATAAAAGCTTTTGCTTTTATTTTGCATTTATTTATTTTAATTTTATTTGCTTTTGAGACTAGCAAATTACTAGATATCTGAGGTACCAGTCTTCACAGCTTTTTCTTAATTTCACTTATCAGGATAATGATTTGATGACTTATTTGCTGTAAAGGCTGTTTTAAAAGGAACTGAAAGATTATTATGATACAAATTCTATTATTTTCTTTGTTGAATCTCTGATTATTAGTATCTTGAATATTCAAAATCCACTTTTAACTGATGATGTCAAACAGAAGGTCAGACAAATTTTTTTTTCAATAAGCATTTTTAATAGATTCAGAAAAATTTTAGGTGTTGGTGTCAGTCTGGAAAATTTGATGCTTCAGGATGTTTGACTCTATACTGGGGCTGACATTTCTCAAACCGAACCATAAAGATTGTTGAAAATGTTGAACTTCCTTAATTACATGTAGTCGAGCAGCCTGTCAGAAGCTAAGTTCTGGAATTTTTCTATTCTTCAGTTGTTTCCACCTCACTCTTTTCTTTTCCTTGTTGACCACTTTATTGCTTCTCATTTTGATAGTTTCTTTTACTCTGTGTGTGATAATGGTTACTCTGTGTGTGAGTGTGTGTTTGTGATAAAAGATTAAAACATCGACATGTGGCCAACAATTCCTTCTATACAGTACTCTCTATAGACTAGAGCATGGTTTGGAACCATTGGCAATATTTGTAGAGCTTGGTTCTATATCTTCTGATATCTTCTTACCTTATCTTCTGTATCTGTATCCACAAAACTTTTGTTCAGAAAGAACCACTACACTTCTGAGTGCCTTCCCCTGGATTTGAACTGTCTGCTTTTGTTCTTTTCGATGGGCTATGTAACTTGAAATGAAATCTCAGTTTGCCCCTGGTTTAAGATTGTGCTCTAAACAAGACTTTCAAATATTTTTGAACTTTAAGTCCACCTGCAATTCTTCAAACTACATTTCTCTGATCTGATTCCAGGATTCCTTTGTGTATCACTTCTTGTAAATAGCTTCCAAATAGCTACAATGATCCTAGACTCGACTTTTGTTAGTTACCCAGCCATAGCATGTGGTTACGATCCGAAGGAGCTAGTAAAGTCACATAGGTTTAATTGTTTGTATCAGATTACTGCAGCTGAAGCAGGCTGACCATCTCAAGCATCACCCAGAGGCACTGGGTCATGGACCACTTTTATCCCTTTGTACCTTGTAGTTCTTGGTGACCACATGCTAACATTTTCTTTCTGGCTTGGGAAATTGTTCCTTCTTGTTTTAAATGAGTCTTTAAACTTGAGAAGATATTTAGTCCTGTCATTCACAGGTGTTTTTAATCTGATTGTTTCAACTCAGATTTAGGGATAAAAATCAAGCATTCATTAAGTGCCACTATGTACCAGGCACTGTGCTTGGTACTCAGGATAGAAATACCAAAGCTAGTCAATTCCTGCCCTTAAGAAGCTTATATTTTAATAGAACTAAATTAGTCAGTTTTACTTCACTTAGTGAAGAAAGTTAGATGACCTCTAACCTGTTTGGAATGTTATAGAAGTGATTTCTGAGGTGTCTATCAAATCTTTGATTCTATGCATCTATGAAATCTAAAGACTTGAAAAAATTTTTTCCTGATGATTTGTTTTGAGGATTGTTATTCAGAAACTTAGTATTGCAATTCTTTCATCCTCATTTTTTTTTAACTCTCATGAGATAAGAAAGATGTTGGTCAATTCTTAAATATTCTGATTAATGCCACGGTTATTTCTTGACAAGTTTATGATAGCATAATTTAATTGAGGTGTTTATTCTATCCCAGCTGTAACAGTCCACCCTTCACGTGACCTCTTGGTTCAGCATGTGTCATGTTTGGACAAACATAATCTACAGTCTTTTACTTCATTATTTTCTTCAACTGTTGTGGAAGTTGTGATTTGAAGAGATGAAGTATTATAATGCTGATTCCCTCCGAAATATTCCATGACCATTTTTCTAGGTTCCCACAAATTAGTCATCTTACCATGGAGCGGAGCCTTTGAAATAAGAGAGAAATAGAAAAGATGTGGATATGTGTGTGTGTGTGTGTGTGTGTGTGTGTGTGTGTGAGAGAGAGAGAGAGAGAGAGAGAAAGAGAGAGAGACACACACACACACACACACAGAATATGAGTATAAATAACTGGGTGAGAGCAAAAAAATCTGGAAATATGGACAAGGATGAAGCAGATGTCTTAAAACTAAAGAAATGTCAGGATAAGAGGAGGATGGGAGTATGTGATAAACAGAGACCTTGATGTCAGAGCACTGGTCAGGAAACCAGGCCTGGGAAATCTGTCCAGGGATTCCTGTGAAGAAGGCTGTGAGTCAGGCTGTTTTGTTTATTTTTCTATGCCCACAAGAAGTAAAGCAAAATAGGTTAGAAAAACACATTTTATTACATTTTGAGATTTTCCCATGAACAAAGCATGCTTTTTCTTTTTTTTCCTTTTATGTGTGTTTACCTCAGAAAATGTGAAAAACTACACAAATTTTAAGGGTGAGTTATTACATATAGCTGCCTTGCAGACATTTTTATATTTCATGCAAAATTTCACAAATGACTTTTTAGACTGATAAAATTAACAGTACAGTAGATGACATATATCTGTATCTTTGTGGCTTATAATGTGGTACATGAAAATGATTACATTTTACCTTTCTCAGGGGATTTCTGATTAGAATTGTAGCTTTTACTTTAATAGAATATTCAGTTTTAAGAAAATAACCTTAATTCTGAAAATTAAGTTTTGAACCCAAAGTTATAAAACAATTAATTAATTTAACAATTCAGCAAGTACTTTACTGGGAAATTAGGAACAGTGCAAAAACGTATTTTTATATTTATTTCCCAAGAATTTTAATGTAGAAATAAGAAAAAAGGAAGACGGGAACTTGAATTAGAACAGATTTATCCTACTCAAAACATAAAATATTTAAAAATATTTCAAAAAATCTATTGCTTACAGGAATTCCATCAGCTCCAGGAAATCCAGAAACACCTCTTTGTCCCTAAAAAAGAAAGAAATCAAACTTGAAATGGAAGCATTGATTATGCTTCATAAAGTCAGATGAAATATCAGTAATGAACATACCACATCTCCTTTGGGCCCTGTTATTCCTGGTGCTCCACGTTCACCTTTATCACCTTTGCGTCCTTGTAATCCAGGAATACCTTGCAGCCCTGGTGGTCCACTGTATCCTTGTGGCCCAACTGGTCCTGGTTGACCCTGAAAAAAACCCCACAAAAATACAGGATTATTTGCATAGGGGAGCACAATGAACAAGCATCCTCATTAGTGATTTACTTTGAAATAATTATCTTTACTTAGATAAAGCAGATCCTTCAGAAGACGTGATGTGCCAGCTACAATATTCTGTATTCACTACTCAGAGTAGTGTTTCAGAATGAAATAAAGAATTATCCAATGAGGTCCCAAGAATGACATTGAGTTAAGATATAAAAGCAGCATGCTTCATGGAAAGAGTACTACCATCCCATGATCGTTGGTAAATCATGTAATGTGTTTGAAATTTCACTTCTTCATCAGTAGAATGAGGATAATAATATCTGTTCTATCTACCCCCATGGTTGTCTCAAGGTCCAAATAGAATAATCCATTATATGGGAAAGTGTTTTAGAAACTATCAAGTACTATAAAAACATCCCTCATTTTTCCCTCTCCAAAGTAAAACCATAATTACGCAGTGTTCCAAAAGTCTTAGTGTAGTTTTAATTTTATTGGACTTTAAATCGGACTTTTAAATTTATTGGACCTTAAAACTGCACTAAGACTTTTGGGACACTCTGTACAAGCTTGTAATTTGTGAGTCGATCAGTCAGGTGGGCAACAAACATTTATTAAGAGCCCACTCTCTGCTAGGCATTGTGTTAAGCAGTGGGGATAAGAAGGAAGGCAAAAAGACAGTCCCCTCTCTCAAGGAGTTCACAGAGAGATGACATGCATACAACTATGTGCAAACAAGAGCGTTACTTAAAAATGTTTTAAGGAAAACAATTTCCCCACTATTTTTGCCATTCTTCTTAATGACATTTCTACCTATATAAGATTTCTATATGCTGGACCAGAAGGAAACATATCCTTCATTAACTCAAATGGAATATTTATATTCTAGATATGAAAAACCATAATTCTGTCTGGTATCCATTACCTTTTTCTGGATAATTTTTGATTTGTCACAAATAACTAACCACATTATGTAGTCATTTTCCTTGCATTGTCAGGCAATCTCTGAAGATCAAAGTATTCTTTTTATGACCTTAATTTTTGGATGGGAAGACAGACTTTTGGAATACAGTCCTGGACTTTCCTATTTTGGTGGAGGATGTCACTTCAGCATAATTCATGCCGAGATTCTGAGCGGATGGAACTGTTCACATAAAGATCTAGACAGTGTCTGCTTTAAGAAGGTCCAGGAGTAAACCCATGTGAGAATCACAACTCACATTGTCTCCCCATATTCTCAAAGTTTCATTATTCTGATTAAATTGAAGGTGTTTTAGTTTAATCAGAGTAATTGCACCTCAAGGCTAAAGGATGTGATGACTTTAAATGTTTAAGTTGTTAAGTGACTAGGCTTTCCATAGGATATCCTGACCTTTATTTGCCAATAAAGCCCATCTGGAATGATCAGGTTAAGAGAAGGGATTTTCCTTAGTGTTAATCATCATCATTGCCAGACGACTTCCATCCTTAGTCCAAGCATGGACTGGAAAAATTACTTCCCCCTCTCCCTTTCCTTTTGTATTAGCTTGTTTTAAAAATAAAGTTAAGACAAAGACTGGCAGACTAGTTTAATTTATTTGCATGGATTGAGGAAGCACCTAGCTTTTTGTCTGGAAATTCCGGTGACATGCTTGAAAATAACATTTCCACAATAGGGGACAGAACACTGGGCCTGGAGTCAGGAATATCTGAGTTCGAATCTAGTCTCAGACACTTCCAGCTGTGTAACCCTGGGCAAGTCATATGACCTTTGCCTGTATTCTCATTTGTAAAATGAGAGTAATAATAGTACCTATCTCCCAGGATTATCGAGAGAATCAAGTGAGATAATATTTGTAAAACACTTTCTAAACCTTAAACAGCTATATAAATGCCAGCTATCATCATCATCATTACTATTATAATGGTAAGCATGAAAGTACTCAGTATGGGATCATATACCATCTCTTTCAGTCAAGCTCACATATGTGGAGTGATACCATAAAATTATAATAGCATAATATGGTAAATGCAATGTATAAATACAAATGTATAAATCATTCCCCAAATAAAAATATTTCTCTCAGAGAAACATATTCAGGAGGAAACTGATTGATCCTCAGATAAATTTCCTCTTGATTTCTTCCGTAAAGCAACTGGCCCACAAAGATTCATAGGTTTTTAGAGCTGCAGGGGACCTCAGAGATCATCTCATTCAACTTTCTCTTCGGGAAAGGCTGATTGAGTTAGAGAGGGAAAAAAGGCCATAAAACACTTTATCTCCTTTTCCCATTAATTTTTTTTCTCCCTATTAAACTCAAGTGTTTTCTACTGGTAAGTCTCAACTTTAATGTTAGGGAAGAATAAATGTCATGGTGGATTTTCACACACTGTAAAGGTTACTGGAATGTGAAGGGAGAGAATGGGTCAGTTTGGGGTAGAACAGCACCAAAGGTATATGTTCAGACTTGAGTAGACATTGTTTAAATACCAGGACTGCACATAGGATACACTTAAAATCCTGAGACATTTTTACTAAGGTTCTGAGGATTTTAAATCTGGTTCTTGTGGAAGAGGCCAAAATCCTAACTGTAATTAGAAATGTCCACATATAGGGGCAGCTAGGTGGCGCAGTGGATAGAGCACTGGCCCTGAAGTCAGGAGGACAGGGGTTCAAATCTGGCCTCAGACCAAACACTTGACACTTACTAGCTGTGTGACCCTGGTCAAGTCGCTTAACCCCAATTGCAAAAAAAAAAAAAAAAAAAAAAAGAAAAGAAAGAGAAATGTCCACATATAGAACAACTCTACAACCTGAGGCTTAAAATTAGTAAAATGATTTCAGAGGGCTCAAGAAAAACTCAGCTCAAATAACTATTAATTTGTCAGATAACCCACACAAATGAGTGTCTATTTCTACCTAAATTTTATTAACCTTAAGGCTCTGTCTGGGCAAGAAAGGAAAAAGAGTAGCCAGTTTCTGAAGGAAGGATAAAAATGTTTCACTTAAATCTTCTTCTTCCTTTCTACTCTCACTGTAGCACCTCTAGGCTAGGCACTTATTGCTTCACTTCTGGATTACTGGTCTTTTTGCCTCCACTCTATTCCTGTTTCAGCTCATTGTTTCAGTCTGCTGCCAACCTGATCTTGATGTACCACTCTGATCTTTGGTACTCTTCTGGAAACCTGAGGAGCTCCCCACTGAATAATGAACACAGTATAATCTTCTTGTCCTAGCATTTGGGGCCTGCCCCAGGTCTAGATCCAGTGTGGCTTTCCAGTATTATTTCATACTATTCTCCCTGTCCTTCACACACTATGTGTTTCAGCAAAACTGTCATTCTCCACATTTTCTGCTCTTATGCTGGTCTTTTTCACTTCTGAGCCTTTCATTATATCATCCTCTTACTGTAAAAATTTCTCCCGTCCTTCAGGGCTCAACTCAAGATTCTTTGATCCTTCCCTACAATCCCTATACTTAGGTAACAAGGACTGTCTTCTTCTTCTCATTTCTCAGCACCATTTCTGCATCTTTCCTTTGTAGACACACATAGTTTAGTAACATAGTTATTCACCTAAGTGTCTTCATAGTATCATAGTTCTAGATCCGGGAAGAACTTGAGATCGAGTCTAACCCCATAATTTTACAGATGAAGAACTTTTTTTTTTTATATGACCAAAATTTTTTATTTAACTAAATCTCTAGTTCATGCATAAGCATGATGGATTTCCCCAGTTTATTGGACTTTGGCTATTTAAAAAATAAAACAAAAGAAAAAACACAAGCAGCCTTGTACAGAACAGTGAAATGTCAAGGATAAGGGTATTCTACAGTTTTACTGTAGGATAAATATATATATATATATATATATATTTAAAGGCCTCCCTCCCTTTGGCTACATCAACTTTAGCTTCAGGTCGTTAAATACAGACAAATTTTTAAAATCACTTCTTTACTACTCCAAGATACTCAATGCTGTCATCATCCACCTCTGGCCATGAAGAACTTTTTAAGAGCAGAATCTATGTCTTTATTTTTGTTTCCCTAGTGCCTAACAATGGGGCTATATGCTTTGTACACAATAGGTATTAAATAAATGTTTGCTGAATTAAATTGCATTGAAAAAAAAAATAAGGCTTCCAAATAAGCACACTGCGTTTTTAATCTATTATACAATACTTCCCCAGGAATTTCCTCCTCGGGCTGATTTTGGGAGCTATTTGTCATCAGCTGCAAAGTATGTCAGCAAAAGAAGTGGAAAGGACTACTTTAAAACATCTCTTCAGATAAGAATGTTCTTAATCTCTGAACTGCTCAAAGGCTGCATACCATAGTTGTTCTCTCACTTAAATTTTAGACACCTTCCATTTCTTAGACTGGAGAGGAGTTTATTTTGTTATTAAAATTTTTTTTTTGTTGTGAAAAACTAACTATATTTCCCTTCATCCTATCCCCCACCCCGGTTTATTCTATTGTCTCTTTTGACCCTGTCCCTCCTTAGAAGTGTTTGCTTCTCCCCCAATCTGCCCTCCCCTCTATTGTCCCTCTGCTCTCTTATCCCCTTCCCCCCTATTTTCCTGTAGGGTAAGATAGATTTCCATACCCAATTCAGTGTGTACATTATTCCATCCTTAAGCCAAAGCCGATGAGAACAAGATTCACTCATTCCCTCTCACCTACCCCTATTTCCCCTCCACTGTAAAAGCCCATTCTACCTCTCCCTTTCTCCTCCCAGTATAATCTTCTCTTACTCCTTAATATTATTCTCCAGATATCACCGCTGCATCTTCAACTCACCCTGTGCCCTCTATTTATCTATCTGTCTATCTACCTACCTATCTATCTATCTATCTATCTATCTATCTATCTATCTATCTATCTA